GGGAGAGGAGGGGAGGGCGTCTGTACGTGTGTGTATGTGTGTGTTTGTAGAGGTGAGGAGAGGAGAGGTGAAGAGAGGTGGGGGGGAAGTTCTCAGAGATCACCATGCGAAGGTTGAGCAGCAGCAGGGCCCCGCCAATGCGGCGGTAGGGGGCAGGGGGTGCGTTGTAGGGGCCATTGGATATTGCGGGGCGTCACGAAACGCGGCATAGCGAGTAAGATGCATGACGTGCATGTGTATGTGTGTACGCGCGGCACCCCCTAACGTCCCCCACCCCCAATTGCTGGATTGCTGACCCGACCCTCACCTCCATAAACACCCGCCCCGGACGCAAGGGGACCCCCGCCCCCCTCACTTCGAGACTCGCCTGACATCAACCCCCTCTCCATCCCCCTCTCCCTCCCTCAATCCCCCTCTAAGGATCCACGGACTGGCCAACTGGAGTACGGCAGTGGCCCCCAAGCTAGCCGCCCTGGAGGCGGTCCTCCCCGGGGGCCGTCCCGCGGCTGAGGATCTACTTCGCCGTGTGCCCGCAGCCCTCAAGTACCCGCCGGGGAGCCGTTTGGCGCCAAACATACGGCTGTTGACTGGCAAGATGGGCCTGCAGGGGGAGGTGAGGATTAGGTGTGGGGTTGGTAGGGGCCCCAGGGCCGCTCAACCCTTCAGGGTTACGGTTTTAGGTTATGGAAAGCTGTCAGAAGGAAAGCCATGTGTTGCGTACCGTTGGGATGGGAAGGAAAAAGGGGTGAGGGGGGAAAGGGGAGGGGGAGGGGAGAAAGGGGGGAAAAGGGTGCGGTAAGGTTTTCGGATGTCCCGCCCTCCCCCGCTCTTCATCCACAGTCCTTTCATCCACTTCTCCTCCTAGATACCCACACATACACACATACCACGGCGGCGGCATGTCACTTCGTTTGCACACACACACACACACACACACACACTCTCTCTCTCTCTCTTTCCCCCTCTTCCCCCTCTCTCCCCCACCCCGCAGTCTCTCCTGGCCCTGCTCCGAAGCGCCCCCGCCGTCCTCTCCCTCTCCCCCGAGCAACTGGAGAGCCGCTGGACCTTTTTGGTGGAGATCGCAAACGGCTCCGAAACCGACCTCCTGTTGTACCCGCCGTACCTGCTGACCAGCCTGGCCAAGGTCACCGGACCAAGGCTGTTCTACGTGGCACTGAGGGGCCTTAACAGGAGGCTCACACAGCCGCCGCCACCTCAAGGGTGCCAGCAGCAGCAGCAGCAGCAGCAGCAGCAGCAGCTGGGAGTTGGGCGAGATGGCGGCGGTTCTGGAAGTGGTATGGTCGTGAATGGTGATTCCGGTGGAGATGTTGGTGGCAGTGTTGGCGGCGGTGGAGGTGAAGTAGACTTGCGGTGGCTTTGCGAGGGAAGTGACGAAGACTGGTTGAGGCGGGTGGCGGCGGAGCAGCGGCGGATGAAAAGACAGAGAGGGGGTAGTGGGGTTGGGGTTGGGGTTGTTGTGGTGGGCGGAGTTTCAAGGGAGGGTATGTTGGGGCGACCGGAGACGGGGCTGTTGCAACAGCAGCAGCAGCAGCAGCAGCAGCAGCAGCAGCACCAGCAGCAAGGTGAGGAGGAGGAGGTTGGTGCGGAGGAGTTGTTGCTGCTTCGTGGCGACTATGAGGAGGTGGTTTCGGAGTGGACCTCGCTGCTGGGTTGGTGCTGTGACAAGGCCTTCACGGAGGCGGGCAGGAAGCGATTCGCGGAGCAGCTGTCGCTTTTCTATTTGCTGATGCAGGGCTGACGATTTCTTTTGTTTGAGCGCGGCTTGTTGGAGGCTGGTTTGGGAGAAGGGGATTTGGACTTAAGGGGGGAGGGGCTCAAATGGTATTTGAGGAGAAGCAGGTAGGGGGTTTTGGGGTTTGGAGTGCTGGGGTTGCATGCTGACACAGCGGAAGGTCGGTGCATTCTGTGAGAAAAGCGAGTTGCTTGCGAGGCGGGGAGGGCCAGGAGGCATTGTCGTTGGCAGGGGGATCAACAGGGATTACAAATTTGGGCCTCACCCTGAAGAATAAGTGCGGTAAGTCGTGGGTAGTTTAATTTTGTCAGGATCGGTACCTCTCTGTGATGTGATACATCAATTCGTACTGAGCAGAATTCTCAGTTTCGACTCGAGACCGAATTGAGGTGGATGCGGTTCTGCAACCGCTGGTTAACCTATGAGAGATGCCATCACTCAGGGACCCTAGTATGCACTTAAGATCGAGGACGCCCTCTAACTTTAGATTGGGTATAATTAATTTTTCTGGATGATCATCATCAGCATCCGGGATCTGCATCCGCCGATCGGTACATCTCAGAAGTTGTAAAGTCCGGTAGTTGGTTCATCTAATATATAGAGAGTTTTTCCGGTGGAAGGTCACAGTACTATCTTCTAGTGAAGTCGACCCTATAACCGAAGCTATTCGTAAAGAGATTCGTTGTAATATAACATGCTGCCGGTGCTGTCCCAGCCGCACCTAGCCGCACCCTGAGCAGCAGCAGTGGAGTACTAGAACCGACGTGGTGGGCCGTGCTCGAAAAAAGAAGTACGACCCTAACTGACAAAACAATAAGCTTCGACTTCTCGAAGTATGAGTGTAGAGATTGGCAAGTTCTTGTGAAGGGACTGCCGTGGGGCGTGGAAGCGGGGTGCATGCATGCATGCATGCATGTGCCGGACCACAGTACGGCAAGGGGCTTCAAGCTTCTACTTGGGTCCCACAGGCGCATTGTTTCTTTAGCTGCCGTTGTTTTGACTATTATGACCAAGAGGTGTGTCCCGCTGCTGGAAAAGTAACCTCTAGTTTTCCCCCACCCACTCACCCACGCGTCTATGTTCCTTTTCTCGTCAATCGTCTGTGCTTCGTCGTACAACCCACCCGCCCAGGGCAATCCCGAGGGTTGCCACAATGCAGCGGTCCCTGGTTTGGTCGTTGCTGGCCTTGGGTGGGTCGCCCATGCGGCTCTTCGGCCCTTGTCGGGTTGCTTGAGGTCCTAGGATTCGTTAACGGTGCAATACAGGTATCTGTCATTCCTATCGGCCACTAGTACAACTTTCACAATGGGTTGGTGTTGGGAGGGGGGTTCGATGGGTTGTTTTGCTGGCGGTTGGCGGCTTAGCTACTGAGCAGTTAGCCAAACTCACGCCAGGAACACGCCGCCTTAAAACTCGGACATTTTGCTGGCATGTTTAGTCTTATTTAGACGTAATTTTGTTCGCCTGAAATATGGTCGCAACTCTGCCGGTTAACTAGACATGACGGCTGATTGGAAACAGTGTGCAAGCACCTTGTGATAGCAGGGAGGCCCCGGGCGTGGCAGCCTGCAATTTGGCATCTGTGCGGCATGGCTAATGAAATAGCGGTAAAACGTGCACTGCAACACAAATGGGTAGTCGAGCAGTTGCCTCGCGAAAGAAGACCAAAGGCGAGTATTTTAGCGTACAGCGGAACTCTGGTGGCTTGCATCCATTATGATAGAGATTTAGCAATTCATGCCTGATGCATTGCGGTCTATTCGCGTTGAGACGTATTGCAATGCTCGTCCATTCGCACGGCCTGGCCACACGATTTAACCATACAACCACCTCCGATTTCAAGCTTCTCATATAGTTGCCAGTTCGCTGTTTTCCTGATTTGCCTATACCACTAAAAAACGCCACTACATCCTCTTCTTCGACGGACTTACAAAAGATTGTGCCATGTTGCGGCAATTGGCCAACCGCCTACCTCAATACTCCGCCAACCTGCGGCGCACCACTTCTTCAAGTTTAATAACCAGATCCAGCTACAGTACTGATGCAAGCACCTCCACTGCGCCAGGCAAGCACGCGTTCCTGTGTGGCCCTGCCCTGTCGAATGCACGGAAAGTGAAGTCCGCCCTGGACGAGGCTAGGCGGCGTCCTGTGCTGGCATGGCACTACCCCCGCTGCCCACCCACCCGTTACGCGATTGCGCAAGGAGCGAGAGGGTCCACTCATGCATGAGGAACAGCTTCAGGATGGAACGGCGGCACCTTCATCTCTTTCCTTTCCCCGCCGCTGCCTTCCTAACCCCAAGTTGCACAAGTTGCGGCGCCCTCCCAGGACCCATCCGGCCCCTCCATGTCGACAACAAGGTCGACATTATTGTCGCAGACAAACGAGTGCCAATACCAGGTCCAACCTACACACTGCCCCGTACCTTTCTTCTTACCCTGCAGTCTATGTGGTGTTCGGGGCGTACGGCGGTATCGGCTCTGAGCTGTGCGCCCGGCTGGCCCAGCAGCCCGGAGCTGTGGTGGTGGCGGCGGGTCGGGACGCCGCCAAGCTCGAGGCACTGCGGGGCCGTATCGGGTGCGCGGGGACCGGAATGGTGGCGGATGTGCTGAACCCGCAGCAGGTAAGGCGCCCGAAGGACATCCCCCCGCGTGGAGGTCCAGAGGGGAGGGGAGGGGAGGGGAGCTGCCGGAGGGGGAGGGGGGAGGTGTGGGAGGGGTGTGGAGGAGGGGCTAAGGGTTGGGACTGTGTAATAACCTTGGGTGTTGGTTCAGGTTCCCGCCGCCGCCGCCCGTCCAGGGCGGTTTCACGCTGTAAAAGCGGCGCTCCATGCGAGCTAGTGGCTTGCGGCCGGGATCCTCCTCTCCTCGCGCCGGGGACCTTTCATGACAAGTGTGCGGGGGGCGTGGGTCCTAGGGTTTGGGTTCGCCAAGTTGAGTTTGGGGCCGGTTGTCAATTGACATGCACCGGTGCATGGGTTTATTAAATTGAGGTCTCCGAGCGCATGCGGGGTCTAGTTATGGGGTGAGGAGACTGCTCCAGGACTTGTTCAGCCGCTCCGTGGCCTCCGCCGTCTCCGCCGTTGATCGGAAGTAGCGGGTGCGGGAAGTGTCGACGTGCCTAATTTCCACATGTATCCTATCCCCATGCGAGCAGCATAAGAGAAGCCTGCCTGCGTGTGCTTTTGATCCTGATAATATCAGGTAAGAAGTGTGTTTTTAAAAGAGAAGGGCTGCATGGCTCGTCCACGATAGCGGGCCTCTAGGGAACGCGTGCGTGAGTGTGTGCGTGTGTGTGTGTATGTGTGTGTATTGTGGTGGGCGGGACTTCTGACTGACTTGATGAATCGGTTTGGGGCCGATGGGGCTTTGACGGGCCCTGATGCCGGCGCAGGTGGAGGAGGTGATCAGTCGTACGACGGAGATGTACGGCAAGGTTGATGGGGTGGCGAACTGCGTGGGATCCATCGTGCTAAAGTCGGCTCACGCCACGTCAGACGAGGAGTTCAACCGTACTGTACAACTCAACCTAAACTCCTGCTTTTACATTCTAAAGTGAGTTGTGTAGTCCGTGCCCCGTCTGTCGGACCTTTCCTTGATCCACCCCGATGTCCGCATCCGTTCGTCTGTTCGCCTACCTGTTTGTCTGTCTGTCCATCTGTCCCGGCTATCTGTCCGTCCCGTCTGCCAGTCTGTCTGTCTGTTTGTCCATTTGCATGATCGTCTATCCATCTGTCTGTCTGTTTATCCATCTGCCCGCCCCATCCCCCTGCGGTCGAGCTGCCATGCTAAGGCGCCGCTGACCGTACCTGGCCACGGTACGGCGACGTGTGCCGCCTCAGCTCAGCACCACGCAACGCACACACATACAAATACACACACACATACAAATACACATACACACACCGTCACATGCACTCGTAACATGGAAGCTAAGGCCGCAACCCGAGGGGCGCATCAGGCGCCAGAGCGCCAATGCTTCGGGGTTTGCCAGTCCTGCCCGGCTGCCAGGAGGAGGCCCTTGCTCACCTACCTCTATTCCCCTCCGAAAGTGCACAGCCCCTCGGGCCCTTCAGCTGCTGCCCGCCCGCCTCTCCTTCACCAACACACATATGCCCTGGCGGTCTAGCTCCTTTTGATACCCCTGCATTTTCCCCGTCAACCAGCAGGGCTCGCTCTTAAAAGGGCCAGCTCCAACAGGCACCACCTCCCTGCATCCGGTGCCGCTACACGACCGGACTGAGAGCCATTCCTCCCCATGCATGCGTGTGTTTGTCCTCAGGTCGGCCGTGAAGAAGATGATGGGCAGCGGGGGCGGCTCCGTTGTGTTTTGCTCCTCTGCGGTGGCTCGCCACGGAATACCGAACCACGAAGCCATCGCGGCGGCGAAGGCGGGGGTCGTGGGTGGGTAAAGGGGGGGGGCCAGAGCGCCAATCTGTGTGGTGGTGTACTGGTGGTGCCGGGTAGCGGTGGTGGGGTGGTAGTGGAGAGGGGGTTGGGAGTCCAGGGAGGGCGCCGCCACCTCCGGTGAGCAGGCAGAGGCTGGCAAGGGGGCTGGCATGTGCTGTATCCCATTCCGGTTCGCCCCCCCCCCACCCAGGGGGGAGCATGTGACCCCTCTAGGGGTATTGCTTTCCTTCAAAACTCATTTTTACCGTACACAAGACAACCGACCTCACGTGGGTGAGTTTTATATTGCTTCCGCCCGGGTAGGTTTGTCGGTTGGTTGGTTTGTCGGTTGGTTGGTTGGTTGGTTGCCAGTCCAAGGAGAGGAAACGCACACAAAGCAACCCACATCTCACCCGGCCCTCCTTTCCCGCACCTGGCGCCCCCCACGCCGCTCTCGCGCCCGCGACGTCGCCTCCCCCCAGGTCTCATGCTAAGCGCCGCCGCCACGTACGCGCCCAAGAACATCCGAGTCAATTGTGTGGCCCCGGGGCTCACCCGCACACCGCTGGCGGCCCGCATCACCTCCAACCCCGCCGCCCTAAAATCCTCCGAGGCCATGCACGCTCTAAAGCGGGTGGGTGAGGCCGGCGAGGTCGCGGCGGCGCTGGAATTCCTGCTGCGACCTGACAACACCTTTATCACGGGGCAAGTCCTAGGCGTGGACGGGGGCCTGGGCTCCTTGAAGCCCCAGTGAGGGGCCCCTGTGGTGAGACGGACACACGGCCCTTGAATATTCTCCTTCTGGTAGTAGTGTTGAATGGCGCAATCCTGGACACAATGACTCGGAAAGAAGCAACCTTCGCCAGGATTTGTGTTGTGCACGATTTGTGCACGATTTTGCGTGAAAGGACACAAATTCTGTGGGGACGCCGATTTTATTTCACGGCGTGACAGAAAGGGAGCAACGACGCGTATGCAGCTTTGAACTGCAGAACCTGGATGGGTGCATTCCGGCAGAGGGGGCGGGCCCAACGGAGTTGTGTGGCTGGGGGGCGGACATGCGGACGATAGGTCTCTTCCTGCGGCCGGAATGGGGGGAATCGAGAACTCGGTGATCCCTATCATGACGTTTTGCATGCTCTGTCTCTGCGGGGAATAGTACCGTACCGGGCTCAATGTGTTGCCATGAATGCCGCCATCCATGCTGTTGTGCTATTTCCCGCACTTCAACGTCATGGTGTGGGATGTCGGAATCCATGTCCCAGTCCATGTCAAGCCCAGTCTGGGCCACAGCCTAAAACGCGGAAGTGCCGATAGTGTTCTGATAGTGTCGTCTCGACGTGCGCTACATTGGGCCTGCGGCCTGAGCTCAGCCAAGAAGCTGCAAAAATCACTTTTGCAAGGAAGCCCCAGCCGCTCCGAGCCCCAGCACTTCTACAGGCGCTAGAGCACTGCTGCACAGACAGCCCACCAAACAGGCAAGTATTCCTGGATCCGGGACCCTGATGTCAGCTTAACATGCAGCCGTCCAGATAACCCAAGATTAAACGAAACGAAAGTTACCAGCCGAACTTTCAGGGTGCCCACCCCGATGGCTATGATACCGGAGGCCTAGGCGAGGACTTGGCAGCAGAGAAAAGAGGAAGATTGCGGTCTCCCACCAACTCCTCAAGCCCTCCCTGCCATTATGACTGAGAGACAACCAAGTTTATATCGGCCCTGAGTTGTGACAGAAAGCCCGCCACCCCGTATACTTTTGGTAAAGTCACCGACACGTGCGACCCAGGCGACCCAGGCGAACCACCGAACAGGTTCTTTCTTTTTCTTCGCGCGCAACTGCTTTCGCCAAATTGTTCGTTTCCAGGTAACGCAAGGAAAGCCCTTCTTGGCCTGCGGCCGTAGCTGCGACGCAGAAGTACAGTTCTATCGCGCATCTATCTTCGGGGTCCAAAACATCAGCTTCCTTAATACTTATTTCACGTCACATAAACTTAATAAAGTTCCACCAAAAAATCAACAAAAAAAGTCCTTTTCCAAGTGGATGAGCAGCTATGGTCAAACCGGACGTTCCGTTCTGCCGACGTGACCAAGCCTCGACCCCTTCCTACCAAACCCGACCTCGACCCGTACCGGCTGGCTGCCGCCTAAGTCAGCGGTTCCCTATCGCCCGTGCCCTACCTGCTTCTCCCGCTTACTCGGCAACGGAAATGCCGCAGATATTGCTGCCGTACCCCATTGCCGCCGCTGCTGCTACTGCTGCAAAAAATTACCGCCAATGTCGCTGCAGTACGACACTACCATCCTCGCCGCTGCCGTAGCCGACGCCGGTTTCCAGCCCTACCCTCGGACATCCTCTCCCCTCCCGGCCCCTCCCCCCAGCGGCACCACACTATTGTAGTGCTCCCCCAGTCCGAATGCATGGCGCAGATAGCACAGCTGCAACACCCCCTCCTCGGCGTGCTCGTCGCCCAACGTCACCGGGGGTAGCCCGGCAGCATACACCTTGATCTGCTTCCTCAGCGCCTGCGTGCGCGTGTGCGTGTGCGTGTGATGTGCAGTACAACACAAGAAACGAAAAGCGATCCAGCGTGAGAAAACAGCGATAAAAAAACACACAACACACAAACATACATACATATACAAACACAACACACACAAATATACCTACCTACATACAATCACACGGCAGTTAAAATGACTCTCAAGACAACCTCGCCACTTCCCCTCACAGTTCGAGTGTTTCTCTCAAGACCAACACACGCATTCTGGCCCTTCCTTTTACCGTCTACCCCCCTTTCCCCCGTCCCATTTTGTGTTCCGTGCGCATGGTTTCCCGCCATCCCCCACGTCCCGACCCGCGACCATCTCCCCCCACCTGCGCCAGCGCCCCCAGCTCCAGCTGCCCCCCCCACACGGCGGTCTCCTCCAGCTCCCGGCAGTACCCCTCCAGCTGCTCTTCCCCGCTGCCGGGGCTGTCCTCGTCATAGATGAAGGGCAGGAAGTCCTCAGCGTGAGCGCGGATGTGGGAGGCGGCCAGACGGCGAAGGGCAAGGTAGTCGGGAACAGCTCCTGTTGCTGCCCCTGTTGCTGTTGCTGCCCCTGTTGCCGCACTGCGGCTCTGGGCCTGAGCGAGCTGGTCTTCGACAGTGCGATACAGGCAGTGACCGTCGGCCTGTGGTGAGGGCGTTGGGAAATTGGATTCCCGCCGGGGTCGGGGTCGGGGTCGGGGTCGGGGGATTTGAGTGTGGGGTCGGGAGGATGTATACACGTATGCTCTACGTAGAGGAGGGGCGGCGGAATCATGGAATGGGATGCAGAGCGCAAAAGGATTCGAAGGGCGCGGAAACTGTCACAGCAGGTCCTGGCGACCTGCCGGCATCCTGGGCACCCGGAGGGGGCGATAGAGATAGCTTACATGCGAGGAAGAAGTTTGGTGCAGTGCAGGCGACCACGGGGGACGGGAGAGATGCGGATTCATGTGCGTGCGGTGGGGCCCTACATCGCGCCCCCCTCCCCCTCCCCCTCCCGCTCCCCCTCCCCCTCCCGCTCCCGCTCCCCCTCACCCTCACCCTCACCCGGATCTCCCGGATGCCTAGCTTCATGGGTGCCAGGATCTGCAGCAGCTGCTCCTCCTCCACCGCCTTGTCACTGGGGCCCAGGGCGGCCAGCTCACTGGCAATACGCCGCTCTCGCTCCGCCTGAAGACGTGTAGAGAAAGGGGGGAGAGGGGAGGGGGGGTGAGAGGAAGGACGTCAAAGGGAGGACATGCGGGGGTGTGGGAAGGGAGACTTGACGGAGGAAGACCAGGGACGGCTGATGGCTTGGTGGGAGCGGGGGTTGCAAGGGATCAGAGGCTGCTGTGATCTTGAACTCTGCTAGGAAAGGATGCGAGGAATCATATTACTATTATGACGATGGTGATGGTGATGATGGTGATGATGGTGATGATGGTGATGGTAGTGGTTATGATGATGGTGCTGCTGCCGATGGTGATGGTGGTGATGATGGTGATGCTGCTGCTGATGTTGCTGATGGTGGTGATGGCGATGGTGATGGTGATTAGTGATCATGATGATGCAAAAGGCAAATAAAAAACTGCCGAGTTATTCGCAATCAGGGAGGGATGAAGGATTAGGAGAGAGAGGAAAAGGGGAAGTGCAGGAGCCGCGCCCTCAGCTACACACAACACACACACACACACACACACGGCCCCTCCCTCCACCCCCGAACCTCGAACCTCGAAACGTGCACCTACCCATCCACACATTCACCACTCAGTGCAGTCAGACCGACACTCGCTGCACAAGGCCGCATAACCCCCAAGCCCATCACCCCATCACCCAATACCCCCCAACTCCACACCTTGCCTGTTCCAGCCCAGACAGATACTACATACTTACGTCCTGCTGTGCAAGCTTCTCTCGCCGCTTCTGTGCCTTGCCGGTCTTCTGCACTCAAGTGGGTGGGAACCAAGATATGGGGTACGCGGAAGAGCAGCTGTTGCTAGCCCCTCGCTAGTTAGGGAGGCCCCTTCGCCTGGAGTGCTGCTGCCGGGCAATGATCGCTTCAAACCAAAAGCACACGAACAAAACAGAGACATTGAAGCAGCCTTAGCATGTGCCGCAAGAGGGCACATGCAGCAGGCCATGCGCAAGACTACCTGTCAGCTACATCTTCACCGGTCCGTACGAGTATCGCTTTGTTTGCTCTCCGGCCCCGCGCCACCTAAGCCACCACTAGCAGCAGCGGCAGCAGCACCACCACCACCACCACCACCACCATTACAACCCCACCCCACCTCTACCTTCCTCATCCCCGCCATCTTGCATACCGGCCCAAGTATTCCGACAGCGGGTGGAAAAGCCCTCACGAAGGGGGGGGATTGACCAGTCCGTGGTTCCGCCTCTTCACATCAACCCCCAGCACCCCCCAAAGCATGGCAGCGGCGCCCTGCGCCTGTATAGGGGCTAGGGCCCCCGCTGCTGCACCCACCTTGTGCGCAGCTCCCTGCCCAGGCCCCAGTCCCAACCCTGCCAAATGATCCGCCGCCGCGTCCGCCGTCCCGGAGCCTCCAGCCTCAACCGCATCCGCTGAGGCCGCCTGCTGCTGCTGCTGCTGCCTGTCTCGCTCCTCCAGGTCGGCCAGCTCCCGGGCGTGTCGAGCCTCAATCTCCGCAGTCAACTTGGCGACCTCGTCCTGCAGCTCCTCACAGCACAGGGAATAGAATGGTGCTTAGTTAGTCATGTCATTGAGCTGCGTGTGCAAGTGGTGGGCGTGCAGGGGTGTGATGCCTTGTAGCGGGGCGTGGGGTGTGACCCCGCCCTGGAGCGCGGGAGGGGGTGAGGAAGTCTCATCTCCCTATGGGAAGACACACACACACACATATCACACGTACACACACGCACACCGACTGACAGACTGACTGTCAGACTGACTGACGGGAAGGCAGTGTTGAGCTCCAGGAGGCCGAGTCCCGGGAAGATACAGGAGCGCCTTAGCTCTTAGCTCTTGTGAGACACACACACACACACAGAGAACACACTGCCACGCCGGATACCGCAATATTATCAACCCCGACTGGCTCCAGTTCTTCCCGCAGATGCCTTCCTCATCTTTCACACACTGCATACAGCATACTACTGCAGGAATCCCTCCCCATTCAAAGACAAACCCCCAGCCCACCAAACAGGTCGATGACGGCGCTGTGTGATAACGCGAGAGGACTGTGTAACGGGAGTTTTTCGAGCGGGCCCCACCCCCACGGGAATGTAGAAACCCCCATTCACATTTCCCTACTCCACTGCTGCCCTGCTGCTGCCCCTGCTGCTGTCGGACTGCTGTCGGACTGCTGTCGGACTGCTGTCAGCCGGCGGGCTACTTCGCTATCTCCAGGTGAGAGGGGGTGGTGGGAAGGAGGAGGAGGGGCTTCCGCGACCTCCTGCAGCGAGTGCCTAGCTAGAGCGCGCGCACTCGCCTTCTTCTTGTTGCCCAACTTTTGAGTTGCTTTCTTGTGCGCCGCCATTTCCTGTGTGAAATCAACCAACAAACGGGTCCTGAGCTAGGAGGTAGCTGAAGTCCATGCCGGAGGGGTAATAATATGAACACGGCACACACACACAAGGATACTTTGTTCGCTGGCCAGGTGAGATTAGACAAAATTAGATTAGACAAAATGATTAAGCTGAGCAGGCTGGTGAAGATATTGGTATGCAACTGTAGCAGATATGGGATGTCGGGGGTTGGGGGGAAGTTGTTTTCTTCGGGAACAGGTTATGGTACTGCAGATATGTCGTTTCGGCTTACCCGTTTATGTCGCTGTAAGAGCTGCCCTCGCGTCTCGAGGCCCTTTGAATCTCCCCCTTCATCGTCAGTGTCGGCATCCGCTCCATCCGCCCTGTCGATAGGTTTGTCCTCTGGCGTAGCCGCGACGGGTTGTGTGGCCTTTTGCGCGGTGGCCTGCCCTGGCGCGGCGGCGGGTTTGGGTGCCGACGTGCTGGGCTGCTCAGTAGTAGCATCTGCTGCTTCATCATCTGAGCCGTTATGCTTGTGCACTCCCTTCAGGAAGCCCTTCATCCCTTTGCGTCCCATGTCGTTCAGGCAGCTTCCGTAACAACCCAAAGATCGGCAGTATGATGATTGCAAGCCTTCCTGATGACAGGAGGTGGGTTGCTTATGCACAAACAATATTGGGCTTGGACTCAGTTTGCTCAAAACATGCTTGCTTGCGCCCGTTTCCCGTACAATTGAAATTTTGGTTGCCCCATAGTCGTTTTACCCGCAAACGTGGACCACGGAGGCTATCTATAAGTCAGTATGGATCAGTTATCAAAATATAACTGCTTAGCTATCACGACCCTGGACCGCTAGGATCCATGCTTCAACCATTATGTTACGGATGAGCTCCGTCGTTTCGACCCGCATTAACCTTTGGTTTTTATACAAATAAACTAAAGAACTGAAAATGGTATTTGCATCCGAGGCAGCAGTGGTTATAAAGGGTCGTGATGGTCGGACAGTCCTGCTCCAGAGGTGAGTTATGTATACGTTTGCAAACACCAAAAATATACCTCAACTATCACACCTTACCCCCGTGCTGCTGCAGCCGGGGCATGGACTTCCAGGTTGCAAGCCTTGCAGCCGGTGAAGCCATAGCAGCACTGCAAGCAGCTGCACAAGGATCTGAGCCCTTGGATATCCTGTAAGTGACACTATTCACACCCCGTGAAGGGCCCGGTCACGTCGGGCCCCCGTCCCTCTGTAAATACCGTCCCCCTCCCAGGGTATAGCCTCCTCGATCAACATCGTTAGCCATTCGCAGCTGATAACCCCGGCTTAACACCCATGTATGCACCCACATCTTACATGCACTCATGCATAGGACGTTTGGGGAAAGCTTCACCCCAAAACCCATCGCGTTCGCGCCTTTTGCTGTACCAACGTATCCTGTACGGCACACATGCCGCTGCAGGTCCAATACACAGGCGATGCCGCTGCTAAGTGGCAGAGTGGGGGTCATGCGCCACAAGTGAGTACTACGGGGCAGCATAGGAAGTATGGGGTCGGATTAGGTCGGTACTAGGGCGACCCGGAACAAGTCCAGACGCACGAGTGAGGCGCTGCTTCGCATGCAGATGATCTTGTCGGACCTCATGTGCATGGAGGAGATGGCTGAAAAACGGACCCCCCTTGCGCTGAACAGCGCAGCCAGCAGGCGTTACATTGCGGCTCTACAACTGTGATGACAACAACCGCCGCCGTATTGCTGCGTCGGGCGGTACTGGTTCCGAACGCCTGATCCCATTTTTCCGCAACACGTAGAATTTTTCGAGCTTGCCACCACCTTGCTTACAAGGCGCATGAGCCTCGGCCATGAGTCAGCTACTGCTGTGCCGCCTCTGTGTATGCGTTTCCCCCGCCCACCCCCCTCTCAAGCTCCACAGGTTTACACGATAACATCACTCTACGCAAGTTTTCAAAATGTGTCACAGCTTCCTCATACTCACCAGTGCGCCCTCCCCACACCTCCAGAGTGACGACCTCCTTACCTCCCTGCCCCCAGGCTCCCTCCCGCCCTCTTCGGTGTTGGGGGACGTCAGCGGTCGATGCTTTGCAATATTCCTACCGCGTTTAATTATTTCCGTAGTGCGTAGTGCGGCGTAGTATACTTTCCTCCCTCCCGGCCTCTCACCGCTGCCCCCGCCTCTCCCCCCTTCGGTGCATCACTTGTCTGTCCTCAGTTTGGCGGTCACCTACCGAGTGGCCGGCGGCCTGGTGGTCCTGCTTGTGACCGCCCCCACGACCAACGTGTTCAGTTGTGTGGAGCTGCTCAACAGCGCGGTGAGGGTGGTGGCGGCGGGGCCGGCAGACGGCAAGGCCGCGGACCTGACACCCGAGCGGCTGCAACGGAGGTTCGGCCAGGTAGGGGAGGTGGGGAAAGGAGGGTTAAATTGTAACCGTGGCTGCACAACCCCCTACGTTACCCCCCTGTCCACACCCACACCCACACACCGATGATTGTGCACTGACGATTGTGCACTGACGTCGCCGCGATTTGCACACCGTCCCGCTGTTTACCCGCCCCAGGTGTATCTGGCGGTGGACGCGCTGCTGTCTAGTGGCGGGGTGTTGGAGGCCAATGCCGCTTTGGGTCGGGCCATATCCACCCTGGAGCAACTGCATGACAAGGGCGGCAAGACCACAACACCGGATGCGCCCAAAACGCCGCCCCAGCAGAAGCAGCAACGGTCCGGGCGCCTCACGCGGAGGTAGGGATGGAGGAGAGGGGCTTGGACCACCGGCTGTGGCTGGGTGGGAGTGTCCTGCTTACGAGGACGGGAGAAGGTGTGGGGACCATGGGGGGTGCCGTCGTAGCGCTGTGTTGGACGGAAACACGGCTCTTAAGGCCGGGCGTGTGGGTCGGGAGAGTCGAGTAATTGCTGGGAGCCACCGGCCAGCCAGGCGGCGGGGATGCTGCAGGACACGCGCCCTGCATCTCCGCTCCGCGACATACAGCCTCCGTGTACCATACCGGCTGAGAAGAGAGAGAGGCGATGAAGGAGTGCCATTCCTCGCCGCCAGCTGACTGCGAACTGTCCGCCGTCCGGCTCGATCCGAGTTATTCGGGATGCTAACAACCCGAAACATTCGGCTTCGTGGCTTTCCGCGTGGCTTTCGGTGGCGGTCGTTTGGGCGTTGCTCCTTGCTCCAGCATTGTTGCTGCTGCTGCCGCCGCCGCTTTACTGCTTCTGCCACTTTGTATCGCATTGCAGGACGCTCCAGGGTGTGATCGACCAGTTGGCGATGCTGTCCTTCGACGCCCAGTCAGCCATGCAGGGCGTGCATCCCCGGCCGGGATTCCAGCTGCCCGATGCGACAGCAACAACAACAACGATGATGACTGCCGGGCCCACGAGGGCAGCAGCGCCGGCGGCCGCTGGGCTGGATCCCGTCGCGCCCCAGGTGGGGTGCGGGAAGGTTGAGGACAGAAAAGTGCGCCGCTACATCGTGCGTGCTTGTAACCGGGGCCCTCGACGGGGAGGGGTCGTGGAAAGCATGGCCACAAACCTGTCGTCATATTTGTCGAGAATGTGGCGGAATGTTAGGGTGCGATGACGATCCCCGCTGTCTCTATCCGTGCAAGCACATCGCAGCGCTTTGGCGCACCAAGACATTTGTATGTCTGTCGCCTCCGCTGGGCCCCCACCTCGCCTCTCAGCCGCACGTGTGCCCCCGTGTTGCTGTGCGGTCACCTCGCGCTGTGCCCACCTGCCCCGTGTCTCCCGCTTGTAGGGAGCTGGCAAAGGCCCGGCGGCGTCCCTGGAGCTGGGTAAGTTGGATGAGTGGATATCGCCGGGATATGGGGGTGAGGAGGGGTACCTCTGGAAACGGCAGCAGTGCGTGTCCGCCTTCCAGGGCATTCATGCATCCAACTTAAGTGCGCGTCCTCGCCTTTTTTTACTGGTTCCCGCTGGTGGATGCTGCGAATTGGGTAGCGGATCGCCTATCCACTCGGCCACTCAAGCAACCGCACGCGCGCAGAGCTGCATGCGATACCATGCATGTATTAGAATGACTGATGTTGTATGGGTGTGGTTAAAAGCCCAAGGCACAGCGCCGTCACATGCACGTCGTCCTGCTCCTGGATGCCAAGCATGCGCCACAGCGCACAACGGCAACAGCGCCTTCACCTTTTTTCTTGTGGCGATTACTGATCACACCTTCGGGAAGTCCTGTAAAACCTCCGCACCTGAGAATCGTTTTTCGGGGGACCCCTGGCAACCTCGCAGACGACGATTTCTTCGGTCTTGGCGGCAAGAAGAAGGACGAAGCAGCCCGGCCCAAGCTGCCGCCGGGTGCGGACCCCAACGACCCCTTCGCCGCCTCGGACCTCTTCTCCCCCTCAGTAGTCACAGCTGGGGAAAAGAAGGAAGCGGCGACGGCGGCGGCAGCGAAGAAAGACGCGGCGGGTGAGACGCGTAGGACATTTCCGCATACATTGCCACGGACCAACGTACGCGTGCCCTTTACATGGGTGGTCATGGATACGTGTTGTGTGTATGTGAAATTGCATGTGGAGATGCGGCTCCCCGCCAAAAACATACAACCCTAAACAAATGCGCCGTCGCTAGGGTTCTCTCCGCCCTCAGTCGTAAGCCGGTAGTCGAGTCTGGATTGCGGTGGCCCCGCGCACCTCACCTCACCTCACCTCAACCTTAGTGATGCCGCCAGACGCCACAGCCCACACCCGGTCTGACGGCTGGCTGCAAGTCGCCTCACCGCTGAACAGACATATCCTTCACGTCCTGCTTTGCTTTTTTCACACGTCGTTCCAACGTGAACGTGGAAAATGCGCCTGGCAGGATTCGAGGACAACGCCTTTGGCGACGCGGCCTTTACAGCTCCTGTAGCCGCCGCCGCCGCCAGCGCCCCTGCCGTCGCTGTCCCAGCGCCTCTGGTCCCTTCCGAGCCGGTGTTGCGACTGGCGGAGGTTTGGCGCGGGGAGGCCGCTGGAGGGCGGCTGGTGCGGGCGGGTCTGTCAGGTCGTGTGGAGTGGGTTTCCGAGGCAGCCAAGTCCAAGGTGCACACGGTGCAGTTTATGCTCCAGGTAGGTCGCGGGGGGTTACGGGGTGCGGAGAGGCGACATTAGCATGGCCGCTGTTGGATGGTGGAGGGTGGCTAGATTAGCGGCATACGGGTGGATTGACGACGTCATACTGCGATTGATTCGAGGGCATTTGGACACTAGGGCCGGGTTAGGGGTTTTTCTAGAGGGTTGCGGTCCGGGTTCTGTCGTCATTCTGTCACATCCGTCCCTCCTCCTCCCTCCCCTGCCCCCCGCCTCCCACTCCGCCCCCTCCATGTTGGCCCAGGTTCCCGAGGCCTCCGGCGCGCAGCTGGCTGCCGCTCTGACCACCGCTCGCCGCCACCCCGACTGCTGCAAGCCTGGACTCGCTGGCGGTACCCTGGTGGCGGATGGCATCCAGGCCAAGAAGCACCGGGGGAGCCCGGTGCTGTGCTACCACCTGCCGCCAGTGGCGACACAGCCGCCCGTCCAGGTGCGGTGTGAATCTACCGCGTGTGTGGGGTGTGTGTTTGTTGGGGGCTGTGTTTGATGGGTGTGTGGAGTGGGTTTGTGGGGTTTGTGGGGTGCGGGTGTGTGTGCGAGGAGTTAGAAGTTTTAGGAGGCCTTGGAGGCGGGCAGGGCGAGGCATGCCCGGAGGTGCGAGCCCTGCGTTCTTCGATGAGTCTGGAGAGCTACGAGTCATAAGTTACAAGCTCCGCATTAGTGGGGGGGGCCGTAAAAGCTGGCCTTGAGTAGGGACAGATGAGCTATACCTAACACGACGGGATGCGGCTTAGCCAGGGCCTTACGCATGGAGATGGCCAGAGCGGCCGGCTTACCGCCACTACCATCACCTCGTTATCCGTTGGCTCTCCACCCTTCCCCACGCGCGCATCCACGGCTCGCTGATGAGGCCTCACTCATCCTCATCCTCACTCCCTCCTCAATCCTACTCCCCCTCTGTTCGTGGCTCGTGTTTCCTCCCTCCTTTGTAGGTCCAGCTGGGCGCCTCTCTGCAGGCTATGCAGGATGGGCGGCACCTGGTCACCCTGGGCCTACACTACGCAGTTAGTCCGCGAGTGGCGAAGCGCACCGCGGGTACGTCTGGAGAAGGGCGCGGTGGACTGGCTGGGTGAAAGTGCGCGGCGTGTGGGGCTCCGGGGGGTCTAACTTACCTGGTGTTGGATGCCGGCGGGGACATATATACAGGGACCCTTTTGGCCCTGTGTTTACTTGCAGTCTGTCTTTCCTTACCTTTCCGTTGTACCTCGTCGTCCTCGTGCTGCCGTGTTTTCCTGCCGGCTGTTTTCCTGCCGTGGTAGAGCGGTGCCTCCGGATGGCACTGCTGCTGGTGCGGAAGAGGGACGGGGGGTGCGTGGGGACCGGGGCGTCGTATGGCGGTGCACTTGCAGTCGAACCTCAAGGTTGGGATGGAAACCGGCTGCTCCCTTCCGCAATGCGGTCGCGTGCCAGATGTCCTCTGGAGCCATGTGTGCGCAGTAGTGCTGCTGCCGTGAGCTTGTGGATACACCCCTTGGGCACCAGGCCCGTGCGGTGGTGTGTACGTGCGAGGGATCCCCGACATCGCTCTCCTGACGCACATGCATGCCGCAGCACACGCACGCATGCGGACTTCATGTCGATTATCGTTTGTGAGTATTGAACGTTGACATGTGTGTTCCCTCCGTTATGGACGCATGGATGCAGATGTGGTGGTGGAGGTTTCGGTGCCGGCGCTGCTGGAGCACCCGCTACGTGCAAGCCCGCCGGGCGCTGTGTTCGACGCCAAAGCGCGGGTGCTCCGGTGGCAGCATGCGGGGCCTGTGACGTGTCTGGACAACAGCGGCACCGGAACGCAGCCGTTCGTTGCGTCGTTTGTTGTCGGGGAAGCGGTGGCGGACGAGACCGCGCTAACGGCCGCGCTTACGCGGCTGAGCGCGAGGATGTCGCTGCGCGGCGCTGACGGATCTGGTACCTTGAGTGGCGCGGCGCTTGCACAAGGCGTGGTGGAAATGGAGCTGACCCCGGCATTGAGCGGGTGGCGTGCGGACTGTACGGCAGCGCTGTAACCGAAACCAGACTGCCGTGATACAACTAGCAGACGGAACCTGGAACGAGTGTCTACACAAGGGTGTTTGTTCAACGCTGATACGCGTAAAGGTGTAACCGGTACATATCATGTAAATGTACACATATGGTCTCAGTGCCAGAAGCAGAGAGCATCAAGTCCCTTTAACTCTGCTGTAACTGATGATGCCTGTAAAATCTGACATATCTAAAAACTCAACCGCATTCTAAACCTCACAAGATACCGCGCTTCATATTTGCCTTTGAAAATGCCGGCTCCGAGGAAACTGTCACCGCAATCTGTGTGGGACAGCAGCGCTGTCCTTCAGGCCTTTCAAGAAGAAGGCGTCAAGCCAGTTCATGCAGTTCGTATGTGGGGGTAGGTGTCGTCGACCGTTGGTTGCGGCCGCCGTTGGAATCGCGTGCGGTATGAGAAAGTTTAGTCCACTTTCAGCGCTGTGAAAGGGTTCCTTAAAACAGAAATCTTGAAGATGACATTGTCAGCAAAATCTCGTGCCCGAAACTTCGCATGGTGTGGTCCAGCTTCCAGGAACATATTGCCTATTGTTAACCAGGCGTATAGATTGCCATTTGGCACGAGGAAGCGTTGCTTAGCAGGACCACAAAGTCGCGAATGCCCTCCCTTTTTACCCTCCCATCCTCCCACGTCCAACTGCATAACAGAGGAGGCTCTCACCACGCGCGTCGGACATCATCGATGGGTTAGGCTCCCGGTTTCCTTCCTCTCACGTGAGCCTCGACACCATCCCCTGAGTCCACCTCACCCCCTCCCTTTCCTTCCCCTTCCTTTTCCCGCTTTAGGCACCTGATCCGCCACCCGGAAAGCTCCTGGCACGATGTCCCCGACATGCCCAAAGCCGCACTGGCGCTCCTGGACAAGTACTTCACCAAATTTACGACGCGGGTGCTCAAGTGCCAGACCAGCAGCGACTCGACCACCACTAAGCTGCTGGTGGAGCTGCAGGACGGGATGCAGGTGGAGGCAGTCGTCATGACTTACGACTCACCAAGTGAGATCGAATGCCGTGTCGATGTGTGTCGTCATAATGTGATTTAGGAGGAAAAGGAGTCTGGATTGAAAAACGAGATCCGGGGGCCCCTGATTTCGATTCCCCAAGCAGCCACACACAGCTCTCCGACCCACGCCTCATCACGTATCTGCACACCCAATGGCTGCCCATCCCTGCTTCTCCGCCTTCGCCGCTAATTACCCGTCTCGCGTTCTCCTCTCGTGGCGGTGTCCCGTCGCCGCCTTCCCCTCCTTGACTCAGTGCATAGAAGCCTTACCACATCTCCCCCTTGGCGGTGTGTCAGGTCGTGACCCGCAGCTGATGGGCTCCAACGGGCCCGAGGCGGACCCTCACCTCCCGGTGGACCATCGCCAGCAGCCCGGGGAGGAGGAGCAGGAGGAGGAGGAGGACAAGCAGCGGAAGGGGGAGCAGACGGGTCCATGCGGGGAACAGCAGCCGCAGGTTGCGGAGGAGCAGGGGGAGGAGCAGGAGCCGCGATGGGATGGGAGGGGGAACTGCGGGCAAGGTGTTTGCGAAAGCAAGGACGAGTCATGCGAGCGCGGCACCCCGGAGCGGGACGGAGAGTGCTGCTGCCATCATGCGGGGGGAGGCGGCAGTAGCGGCAACGAGAACGGTAACTGTAACGGAAGCTATGCTGGTAGTGGCAGTAGCAGCAACAGCAGCAGCAGCGCTTCGAAGGAGGTTAAGGGGGAGGCGGCGCCGTCCCAAGAGCCACCTGGGTCATCAGCATCATCAGCATCAGGGATCGACTCGACTGCTATAATAACGTCTGTGACAGCAGCAGCAGCAGCAGAATCGGCGGCCTCCCGGTCGCGGAAGCGGTCCACGTTGTGTGTGTCCTCCCAAGTGGGCTGCCAAATGGGTTGCACGTTCTGCGCCACAGGTGGGGGTGGGGTGGGGTGGGGGCGACGGATAAAGTGGAGGAGCTGGCAGGGAGTGGAGGACGTAGAGAAACTACGCATTGGGAAAGGGTGGGGAATGGCCTGCAAGAAGCAAAAGATGTTATTAAAGGAGTACCGACGCCAATACTCACCAACTGCCGGCTTGGGTTGGCTGGAAGAAGGCTAGCTGGGGCGCCCTGGACCCCCCCACCCGCTCGCTTGCCCCCTGGGTGCTGTTCGTGTCTAGTGCCTAGGCAGGGAGCGATGTGGCTATACCCGGATACGTCTGGATGGAAGGGAGTTGCAAGTGAGACGAGTGAGACCAGGTTTTGCGCTACCTGATACGGAACTGGTGTCCATCAGAGGGCACCGCTGCTAGGACGTACCCACCGTGGTGGTGACTGCGGTGCTGAGAGGGCCGTGTGGTGCTGGCTGGCTTTGGCTGGCTTGCGTTTGTGTGGAGGGTCTGGTGGAAGGGCGCCTGCTAGGGGGGGAGGTGGGAGGGAGCTCGTGACCTGCTGAAGAGGGAGGGGGGTGCCCGTTCTGATTGAGGAGGCCGGCAGGACTTCTCCTGCGCTGAGGGAGCGAAGGGGAGGGGGAAAACGGGAGGGGTAGAAGCTGCCGACCGTGCTAACTCCCCAATGCTCCACAGCTATCCGTGCTGTATTGAATTGCTTGGCTGCCAGACCTCTACTGACGGTTTCTTATAGTCCCACCACAACCACCACCACCACCACCACCTCCTCCTCCACAAGGAGATGAAAGTGGTCATGGTGTGGGCCGGGTTGCCTGTAGCGGCCTTGGGGGCGGGCGAGTGGGTGGGTGAGCCATGCAGCTGCTGTCCAGGATGGCCGCTCCTTGGGGCCGTTGGTCTCGATGTCATGGTGCTGATGAACGCCAAGATGCAGACGCACAGACAGACCTAAACAGCAGCTACCGGGGCTGGACACATACATGGCTACGTGGCGAGGTACCTCTCGCACAGAGCAAGTCCTCCATAACCTCTCTCTCTCCCCCCCCCACTTCATCCCCATCCCACGCGCACGGATGTGGACGTGTGCGGCTGTTGTCTGCAGGCACCATGGGCCTGAAGGGCAACCTGAACGCGGGGGAGATAGTGGAGCAGCTCATGCACGCCCGGGCAGTGACACCGATACGGAACATCGTCTTCATGGTGGGGACTGGGGGAGGGGGGGGGACGGGGGGGGGGACGGGGGGGAGGGACCCTGGGAGCTGCTCACAGTGCAGCGCACAGCGCGGTCATCCATTCCTCGGGTCGCTTTGCAATGGCTCCTAACAGCTCCGCACCATACATTGTCAAGAAACTGGGGGGCGGGGCCGCACTGCCGTAGTGTCCAGTGTCATGTCCCCCCCCCCGGTTTCCCACACCCCGTGTGGCTCTTTGCGGCGGCCTCTTGGAGCTCCAGGGAAGAACCCTTGGCGCCTGCCTTGCATCGCATGATAGGGTTCCCACTCCCCCGGAGGCTGGGTCCTCCTCCCTCTCGTCCTTGGTCATCCCAAACCCGACCCCGGAGGGAGATGTGTGTGTGTGCGCGTGTGCATGTGTGTATCGGTGAGGCAACTTCTTGGTGCCCGTGGTGTAACTTGAGTTCCCGGACTACGGATCCCCTCCCTGGTGTTCGTTCACCCCTTCCCCCCTCTTCCCCCTCACCCTCTTTCCCTTCACCCTCTCCTTTACCCCCTCCCAAACAGGGCATGGGTGAGCCCCTGAATAACTACGAGGCCGTCAGGTCGGCGGTGGCCATGATGACGGACTCGCGGTTTTTCGGACTCCGGCGGCGCCACGTGACGGTGTCCACAGTGGGGGTCGTACCTCGGATCAAGCAGCTGGCACAGGACCTGCCGGTGGGGGACACAGGGGGGGAGGGAGAGGGGGAAAGTGGGAAGGGTGGCACGGTATGTCCATTATGTGATTGTCGCCGATCCAGCCCTTCACCTCCCCTTCCCTCCCAACACTTCCCCCTCCGCTTCCCTCTTTTCTTCTTGAGCTCTCCCCGCATGGAACCAACAGCGTTTGGGTCGTGTGTGTTTTGGCGGTGCGGTTCCTCTTAACCCCTCTAACCCGGCTATCCCTCCCGCTGCCCCCCTTCCCTCCCTCTCTTCCCTTCCCCTGACCTCTCAGGGGGTCAGTCTGGCTCTCTCCCTCCACGCCCCGACTCAAGAGCTCCGAGCCAAGATCGTCCCCTCAGCCCGGGCCTACAAGCTGCCCGTCCTGATGGACGCGGTGCGGGCCTACCAGTCCAGCAGCTGTCAGAAGGTGTTTTACGAGTACGTCATGTTGGCAGGGGTGAATGACGGACTGGAGCAGGCCCACCAGCTGGGGCAGCTGCTGCAGGCGCGTGGGAGTGGGAGCGGGGAGCGGAGGGATGGGGGGGTCCTGTAGCTGGTGGGGAGGGGGGAGCGTGGGTGGAGAAGGCGGAAAGGGATGGGCGGTGAGGGGTTGTGGGAGGACCTGTGAGGCGGGGAGGTGGGACAGGGGAGGATGAGGAAGCTCCGGTGGTAAGAAAGGGTGTCGTAAGGAAGGTGGGAAGGTGGGTCGAACCAGGTGAGGACTCTTCCTCCGTTCCCCATCTTGCCGACCTCTTGTCGGGCCCTTTGGTACTTCTCCCCACTCACCCTTTAACCATGAGGTTACTCCTCTCCGCCCGCTCCTTCCCTCATGCCTGCACGGAATACCCTCTTCCCCCCATATGCATACGCTCGTGCAACTCGTTTGGTTGTTTTCACTTCCCCCCCCCTAACACACAAACACCGCTTCCCGCGCAGGGTGACGATGTGGTGATCAACCTGATCCCCTGGAACCCCATCTACCAGCCCGAGGGGCCCTTCTTCAACGCCCCTGCGGAGGGCAGTGTGGCGGCCTTCCAGGGCGTGCTGAGGCACACGTACGGGCTGCACACCACCATACGACAGGAGATGGGGCAAGATATCTCGGGTGAGCAATAGCAGTGTAGTGTAGCAGCTGAACATAGTGCGGCAAACACATCGTCTACGAATACACACTAAGGCGCTCCGCCAGCATCGTATGAGGCCTTTTCAGCTGCTACACAAGCAGCAGCAGCAGGGAGCGGTGTGTGTATGTGGGGGGGGGATGGGGGGGGGAAAGACGAACCACGAACGAGTGAAGCTGCTGCCAGGGCAAGAGTGTACCAGAAGTGGTAGGGAGGGGGGGATGTGCGGCCTTGTTAGGTTAGCAAGGCCGTGTAGAAGAGATGTCTGTGCGTGGGGGAAGAAGAGGTGCGGACAGGTCTCGCCGCCGGTGTAGCGCGTCGACTGCGTTTGCACGTGCTGTGCTGCTCGGCTTGATGATGGCAGAAGAGGGACGGGAACATACATACATACATACATACATACATACATACATACATATATATACATACATATATACATACATATATACATACATATATATACATACATGTCAACACAAACACCATACCCTGTGGTACCTGCTGGCCCCACACTCACCCCCACACGGGGCGTCCGCCGTGCACAGGGATGTGACGCCTTCATCCCAACCCTAATCGCATCCTGCTCCGTGTTTTCACCCTGAAAGCACCCCTACACCCTCTTGCTCCTCCCCACCGCTCTCCAGGTGCATGTGGTCAGCTGGTGATTGAGAGCGGCGGTGCTGGTGGGGGTGGTGGAGGCGGCAATGGGGGCTGTAGTCGGGAGGCGGGGGGTACCCGGGACATTGAGGACGCAGTACGGAAGGCCGGCCTGAGGCCCGTGGCTTAGTCGACTGAGGCCAGCTAGCAGCGCCAGCGGTAGCAGATAGAGAAGGGGTGGGTGACGGGGAGCAACCCCGTTGTTGTGGGGTGCGGGTCTTGGCTGCGGCCGTAGCTGCTGCTGTCGTGCTTGTACTCTCTGCAAACGTGATGCGAAGTGCTGATGGTGAATGATGTCCGTAGCGCTGTGCTACGACTAGACTGCCCATACTGGTGTGGCGGTGGCAGGTGGGCAGGTAGGTAGGTAGGTAGTTGGCCCCACTGTATTGCTCCCCCCTGGCTGCCCTTTCCCAACTGCCGTACGCATGTACTGCTCAACTACAGTGTTGAATGCATGGATGTCTGTGTACCCTAGTGTGGGGGGGGTGTTTGAGAGCTACGGGTGAAGGATGGCGCGGGGGGCTCGACATCCGACCTGCCGCTAGATGCTGCCATGCACAGCGCTTCCCCCGGGTCATGTGCACATCCCGGACTTGCCGACTCACTAGCTGTTGCAATCTAGGTTGCATTGATGTGAGCTGAGCTTGTGACGTGGTGAAGCCTACCCAGCTGTTACTTCAGCCTGAGGGGTCCCAGGCCCAAGGCGCAATTACGCACAATTACGCGGTCGAAACCCAAGCTCATTTCTTGTTACTATACTCCGCAGCTGGTGCATCATCTCCGTGGTCTTGCTAACAGGTTCCCTTCTTGGTAATAGCATCAAAACAAATGCTTCTTTCCATTATTCGGAATCTCCTTGGCATACTCCTGTACGAATTCTTCTAGTCAGCCAAAAGGGTGAGCCCGTCAAGATGCAATGCAAGAAACCACAGCAGCAGTGGGCAGACCGCCAACAGAGGTTCGGCGTCTCGGCTGCGGCCCGCCAAATTCTCGGAGCACCTCTCTTAACTGTGACCACCCGGCACAGTACTGTGTCACTACCGGTGGTCGCTACTGAAAAAGCATTAAGCTGTCAGACCTGACGGGCTTCGAGCACTTAGTAAAATGTGCGATCCCTGCATACACAGAGTACGACATGCGGCCTCGTACACGGCACTGCCACGGAACCCGACAGCTGCATGCCAGGTCTCTGCAGTTCACCATCACTATCAGCGCGTCTGCGTACAGTTCTAGATGCATTCAATGCACAGCTTTTGAACGCCCAGGCCGTGAAGGCGCTTGAGCCGCCTACGTGGTATGCAGGGCGGGACTTCGCGCACCAACTATACACATTCATCAAGCAAGCGTGTTCACCCAATAACACCCCAGAAAGCAAATGATTGCTAGCGTCCTAAAGCGGTATAAGGTAACCAGTATTCGGGGTTCTATTTTTGACCGTTTTCGGTTACATGCCGTTACCTGAACATTCGGTATGCTGTGGGTTTATTCGCCGATTATTCGGCGAACTCCAATTTAATGTCTTTTCCTTGTCTCAAACTTTTCCACCTGTTTTGTGTGAAGTTGTGCATGGCAAGTCGTTTCGCTGGTGCGAATTACTTTAGCTTCGGAGCTGGACGTCCTTCCATGCGTAATATTATGACAAAAAGTCTCCAGGTTTTCTGAATTTCTGCCATAGATATGTGCAATCCTCTAGGTTGCTGCATATGAATGCCATGCCGGGCAGCGGTGCAAGTCGAGACGCGCCAGGAACGCGCTCGCTGAAAAGCTTTCGGCCAGTAGCTAACTGTCCTAACGGCCTTTTACCCATCCATCGCGATGAACCAATCACCCGCCGGCCAGAGCCATATACAGAACCACATACCTTATGGCGTAAACAGTAGTTTTACGGTTTCTTCCCAAGCGTGCATAGATGGTTAGAAGATGCAGTCGCAGGCTTTGCTTTTGCACCATCAAGGCTCCTGTCGCAACGCCCAATAATTTCCCGGTTAGTTCCCAGATCCGAGCTAGATCGAGCAAACTGCGGTCCATCCTGGATTTTACTGGACCCGACCGAGGATCCGTGCTATCCAGCGGCTTAAAGAGAAGTGTTTTGTGCGATCTAGATAAACACATTCGTGCATCAGCTGGAAAAGGCGGCGTAAGTGAGTACTGCTTTCAGTTCAACCCGGCCACCATCCGGCCGAGACAATGGACCCCGCATATCATACCCCTCTGTACGATGCGTTCAGAGGCGTGGCATTTGCGCTGTTATCGTTGTAGGTGCTGAAATTTTGTTAAAGTGCCCCGCTGAACGCCAGAAATGGCCAAGAAGGCGGCAAAGCGAATAAAGGCGAATGTGAAGGCGAAGCTAGCGGAGGAGCAGGCGGAGGAAGAGGATCAAGCGGAGGCGGAGGCGCAGGCGGAGGGACAGGGGGAGGGGCAGGCGGTGAAGCAAGCTGCGAAGCCTCAGGGGAAGCAAGCGGAGAAGCAGGCCACGAAGCAACCGGAGGGACCGGTTGAAGGACAAGCGGCGAAGAAGACGGAAGGGCAGGCGGCAAAGAAAGCGGAGGACGAAGCCCAGATGCAGGCGGCGATGCAGGTGAAGGAGCAGGCGGAAAAGCAGGCTGTGGGACCGGCGGAAAAGCAGGTGAAGGAGCAGGCGGAAAAGCAGGCTGTGGGACAGGCGGAAAAGCAGGTGAAGGAGCAGGCGGAAAAGCAGGCTGTGGGACAGGCGGAAAAGCAGGTGAAGGAGCAGGCGGAAAAGCAGGCTGTGGGACAGGCGGCGATGCAGGTGAAGGAGAAGGCGGAAAAGCAGGTGAAGGAGCAGACGGAAAAGCAGGTGAAGGAGCAGACGGAGAAGCAGGCTGTGGGACAGGCGGAAAAGCAGGAAAAGCTGACAACTGTAGACAAGTTGAACATGCAGGCCCAGCAAAGCCAGGACGTCGTCACCGCGCTGAGGGAATCGGTGAAGCGGTGGGTGGGACATGAGGGCGGTGGTCTGAGGGGTGGCCTGTGTACTTCACAGCGAATATCAACTCCGCGGGTCAGGGGGTTTATCCCTGGTCGCTGGGGGTCGTCAGGATCCCTCGTGGCGCCGGGGAGAGCCACGAGCGCAGTTAAGGTTCGAGGCAAATCGTCAATCTTGCCAATAACGAGGCTTACCACCAACAAAGACTTCGCGACCTCCGTGGGATCCCACGACCTATTGTTACCGCGTTGCTGAAAGCATTAGCGTTCGTACGGCGTATGTTGTACGTACATCATATTGCCGCACCGTACATTCGTGTCTGCAGGTATGCTGACGAGCAGCGCTCGGCCTTGGAGACGATGAGTTCGCAGGTGCTACGGAGCCAAGGGGCTGTCCAGGTGGCACAGGAGTCGATTCAGCGGTGAGGTGGGACATGTGGGCGATGTGGGAGAGATTTGGGGTGACTGGTGGATTGCGGGTTTGTGTGCTGTTAGGGGTTTCGGTTGGGGATCGGGGAGGTTAGGGGTTGGTGGTTATCAGTTGGTTTTCATTCGTGCATGGCGCGTTAATACCTGGATGGTATCTGAAGCCCATAATTCCATCGCCCGAACACTAACAGTGCTAATGCTAATGTTTTTATTTGATAAACTAGTAAACGCTGAGATATATATTCTAAACTTGCCTTCTTTTCTTGTTATTGTAGTAACATGTTGCGAGGTAGGTTTCCGGAGCATCCAAAACTTCACCTTCGGTTCGAATTCCCAAGCTGCGCTTCTGCGTCCTGAAGCGTCTGTGGGACAGTATCTCTAGCAAACCGTTAGGCCCAGCTGCCAGGTGCTGATGGAAACGGTTCCGCGGAGTGGAGATATTTCTGTAGCCTGTAGCAAAAGCACGTGTGTTTTCGGTCTCCAATACATGTCGTACATAACACGTCACATGGCCACTGTTATGTTACATTTGTCCTCAGGTACGCTGAGGAGCAGCGCTCAGCCCTGGAGAAACTGATTGCGCGGGTGCATGAGAGCCAGGAGGCCGCAAAGGGGCTGCGGGAGTCCGTGAAGGGGTAGGTGGGCGGGGCCGGCGTGCAGCGCAGTGCAGTGGGTGGCGGAATGGCGCATTCAGAGGAGAATATTTACAGACCATTTACAGCAGGTGCATGATTATATATATGTATATACCTTATATTATATTATTTACCATTTTATGATATGTAGAATATAATAATTATTATACCTATTTGACTTGAGCACGGCCAAATGCTTTGGAGCGGCCAAACGACATCAAACAGCGAAAACCTGCGGAACGCTATGCTGTTGTACGTGACGTATCGTACACATCTGCCTGCCCCCATGTTCGTCCTCAGGTACGCGGAGGAGCATCGCGCAGCCTTGGGCAAGTTGAACGCTCAGGCCCATAAGAGCGAGGAGGCCATACGTAATCTGCGGGGATCGATAAAGCGGTAGGTGGGTGTGTAGGGTGGCGTAGCGGTGGCCTTCCAAAGGCTGCGCGACTGTTCGAGGTGGGGAGACGGGGTTTTGGTCTGGACAGGTGGGTAGGGTTTTATGGGAATGGGATTTTAAAAATATTCCCCAGCATACGCGGGGTGTTGGGGAATTTGGCCATGTTGAATTGTTATAGAGTGGGAGATTTCTGGGCCATTTGAACACATTGTCATTTCTACGATTTATCATGCCATACAGCACCATCCATCATTACCACACTTTTTTGGCCATGTGAATGGAAGTTTTTGGAGGTTGGCGGTCGATAATACATCATCAGTAATCGTGTTATGCATCAGCCACAACTGCTAAGGCGTGTATGTATGTATGTTGTTACAGGGTGGTTAACTTCGCCAGCGGCCCCTTTCCCGGGCAGTCCCTGCTCTCCCCTGCTAGAGGGGCACCCTAATCCGTCACCCCATCCGACTTCAGAATGTATTCGTTGGGTTCGGCAACTCACCACCAGCATCCAACCAAATCTAGCGGATCAACGGCGCATCAACTTAGTTCCTGGTCAGCTCGCAAGTTATGTATTAAGGGGGCGGGGGTTAGGGAGGTTGTATGTGGGTTGCCCCTGATGATGACCCCCCTTATTTGCACCTCCCGCCTCCCACCTCCGGCTTGGGGGTTGATTACGTTGTTTTGGAGCTTGCTGGGCTCCGGCTGCGGCGGGGGTTGGGTGTCCGGGCGCGGGCCGCGTTTTGAGGATTTCATGGGGGTACGGGCGTAGTAGTTGTTGGTTGGTGGGCGGGTTGAGGCAGCTGTTGACTAGCTACGACGTAATAGTTGCGTTGGTCCCTAACGCACCCCCCTCTGCATGGGTCTGCAGACGGGGGTAACCCCCGTGTGTGCAATCTCCCTCTCCCTACAGTCGACACCACTACAGCCGCGACACCGCCGCGCGCGTGCCCGCATTATATTCGCGCACAGGTACGAGGCGGAGCAGGCGGCAAAGGAGGCGAAACAGGCGGAGGAGCATCGCGCGGCGGTGGGAAAGCTGATTGCCAAGGTCCACAAGAGTGAGGAGGCCGCACGTCATCTGCGGGTGACTATGAAGCGGTAGGTGGGTGTGTGGGGTGGTGTGGTTTGGGGAGCTTGGGATAGTAGGGGGAGGGTTATGGAACGGGTAGCAGTGGTGGTGGTGCTGCTGCTGATAACGATGATGATACGAGTTTGGGGGCGAGAAACTGGTCGAGGACTTCTGACTGGGCCTTAAGTGAACGGTTCAGGGTTCGTTTGTCAGGCGCACTCCTTCGTTCATATCGGGTCGCACCCCCCCCAGCATAGCGCACCAAAATGTGGTCAGCGGGCGGGCGGGTGGGGGCACCGGTACGGGGGGGGGTCTTTCTGTGGGAGGGAAGGAGGTCGAGCAGCTCTGCTGCCTGTAAGGTTTTAGAGTAGGAATGCGCGGTGGGTGAATGATGTAGCTGGCCCTGTCTGTTCCTGTGTGCTATGCTATTTCAGCACACTGAGTACTGAGAGTGACAAGCACATTATTGTGTGTTTGTGTATCAGTACGTGTGTCTGACACACCACCTTTGATGGGAAGTTGCACGTTACCCTCCAAAGGTGTAACCTGGCGGCCCACAGGGCGGCCGGGATGAGGGGGAGGCCCAAGGGCCAAGGGCCGAGAGCTGTCCAAAATAGATAGATATATCATGAGAACGCGCAAGAAAAACTATCATCCTGTCGCTCAAAATGAAATGGAATAATTTTTTTATTATAATACGTAGTCGTCCGCATGTCGTCCGCATTATTTGTGCACAGGTACGAGACGGAGCAGGCTGCGAAGCAGGTGAAGCAGGCGAAGGAGTATCGCGCAATGCTGGAGAAGCTGAGTTTGCAAGTCCATCAGGCCCAGGAGGCTGCCAGACGTGTGAGGGGAAGGTCAGCGGACACAGCGTTGCCGTTTCTCCTGACGGGCGCCGCGGCTCTCCTGGGAGGTGTTTACTTGGCGTATGAAAGCGGCGAGAGGACGGAGGAAGGGGGGCCCGGAGGGGAGGCGGTGCGAAGATGAGGGCGGACAGGTAGGGGGTGAGGAAGTGGAGGAGGCGCAGGAGGGCGGCGGCGCCGCACCAATCAGACAGACAGACACAAAGCTTGCGCATTCCCTGTCTGGATGTGTTTCAGGCACGTGTACGACGCACCGTTTGGAATTGCCGGGGGAATTGCAGGGGAAACGGGAGTGCACATAGACTTGACATCAGGACGCGCAGAGTCGTTCTTTGCAAAGTATTTCTCAATTACCTGAAGGAGGGACGACATTACATGCAGTCCGTCTATGCAGTCAGAGCGCAGGGTAGAGAGCTAGAGAGGCAGGGAGGGGCGGAGGAGGGAGGGAGGGGACATCGCTAGTGAGGAGCTAATTCGCGCAGTAAATCGGTGGATGCAGTCATAGCATAGGTCTGGAAGGACCAAGGACGACTTCCGCAACCTCCTCGCCAGCTCTCTTAGCAGAGCTGGTAGGCTGCCACCTATATTATATTACCACCTGGCCCTGCACGCTGTTGTGGGGCTCGCACACTGGTGCCGTCGGCGGTTGAAGCTCATCTGGTGGCGGCTACGGCCACGACCACAGCTACACTGGAGGGCAGCTGTGGTAACCGGGCACCTGTGTGCGTCCCTGGACAGATTTGGATTTCGGGATCATCTGGATCAGTGAACACGGACATCTCAGCCAGCCGAGCCGCCGGGCTGCCGCAGCAGAGCCTACCCGCGGGCGACCAGAGGCAGCAGATGGCTGGGGGATATTTACAAGGTGGTGAGGCAGGTGGCCGCAATGAAAGGTTGATTTGGTCAATAATGAGCACAGTTTGCGCAGGCAGCCGGTCTGCATGCGTGGGGGGCTTGTGGGCGGGTGGTGTAGATGCCGCCGGGGATGGAGGGCTGGGCGCTTTGCAGTCGTCGCCACATGCGTGGAAAGGTTTGGTAATGGTGTTGTCGTCCTCCCTTTCCCGCCTATAGCTTTGTATTCTAGGGTATGCGCTTTGTGTGTGTGTGTGTGTGTGCGTGCGTGTGTGTGTGTTCCTACGATAGGTTGAACAAGCCACGACGCGAAGCAGTAGGAGCCAGTTAGCTCAGAGGTGTGCATTATAAGGGTTAGATCCGAATTGGGGAACGGGGTCACGGGAATGCGGACAGCGGGGATGGTCTGCGGGGCTCGCTGGGAGATCCGGACTGCGGGGTGGGTTACCGCAGTACAACTGGATGAAGATGCGGACACTCGATGGGCTAAGTCGGGGTACCCGAGAATGTGACAATTGACCCTGACTGCATTCCCCTTGTTAGCTAGGCCTTAGGGCTTAGTAAATCGCCGCACGGACCCTTCAATTATAAACCCTTTCTGGCAGGAGCAAGCTGTGAATTTGCAAGTTGCCGCATCCTTTACTAGATATGGATGTGATGCTGCAAGGATGGATGTCCAAATCGCCAGAGGGCCGCAGGGTGGAAGGTGTTTGGAGTAAGCGGCCTTGTGGAATGGGGGCGACAGCAGCCCCGGGACACTGCCCCGTGGGCACCTGGCACACATAGCGGACGTAAAATCTTCAAATGCGCGTGCCTACAACAGTGTGCAAAGTAAAACCAGCAAGGTGTGAGGCCGCGTCCCACACGGAACAGAAACACATGGGATGGAGCTCCCCGCGCCTCCGCCTCTACAGCTCCAAAGTGCCGTCACATCACGTCACGGAGCGGACGACGCTGGCGAGGTTGGAAGCCAAGGGGGAGGGGGCGGAGAGGGTGATGGAAACACACAAAAAAACACTGAATTGCGGCTGACGGGAAGATACCCGACCCGAGCACTGTTTTCTCAGCGTTGCAGCACAGCAGCCCCTTCCTAGAGCCGCGTCCCAGGTGTCGTCGCTTACCCTCCTCGCCCCGTCCCGTCCCACCACACAGACACAAATATTAAGCTCACATCACATGGAACCCCATGCGGCGCCACCTCCCCCCCCTCTCCACCTCATGCAGTGGCGCCCTTTCAGCGCCCTACAGACCCTGCACCTCGCTACCCACTGACACCAGCCAGCAAGTTGCCACGCGCCCAGAGCCCTCATGACACCCCCGACATAGTCGCCACTGGCATCGCCTCGCGGCCCCCCGCGCATACACCCGCGCATACACCCCGCATTCGCCCTCCGTCGGTACTCAACACACACCCCCTCTCGGCAATCTCCCCTCCGCCCCCCTGCAGACGCACCTGTTCTTCACCTCCCTCCACCAACACCAACACCCACACCAGTCTCACAATACGTAGCGACCTCACGGTACCTACCTACCTACCAACCTACCTACCTGCCTCGCCAAGATGACGACGAAACCGCAACTCGTCACATTATTTGCCGCTTAAAACGCTGCAAAGCAAACACGCGACCCGTGTTCCCTCCCGAGCCGCGTTATCCACGTGCAGCTGTCTGTCCCGTTGACGTCATTTCCTTCAAGGCCCCCGTGAAGGTGCCCCCCTAATGTGCACCCCCGCCCTGCCCCTCCATCCCCCGACCGCCCCCGGGGCTCAAGGGACGCCGCCGCGGCGATGCGGACCTCCTGGCCTTCTGCTTGAGTGCCACGAACGTGGGCCTTACCCGCTCCTACGTCAGGTGGGAAATACAGGTGCGGGGTGGGGTGGGGTGGGGGAAAGGTGAAAATGCGCGATGAGGACGCGGGAGAAGTAGGGTAACTGTGAAAACGGGAGGGAAGGGAAGGGACGACGCAGGGCTAGCAGTCGATAGGGGGCGGCCGCAGCGCCGGGCTTCCCTGCCGGCCAGCAGGTCAGCAGGTCAGCGCCAGAGGAAACCCCTTCCCCACCTCAAGCATATTCCTCCAACTCGCAGGATAGAGGCCGAGGCAGGCGTCCGCGACAACAACCCATAGACACACCGACCCACGCTGCCGTAGGCCGCAGCCCTTAAACACGTCCTTCACCACCCGCCTTATCCCCTCTCCACCCCCCCTCCTGACCCCCCTCCTCACCAAGCTGATGGGAAGCTCCTGGTGCGCCACCACCTCATCCAGGGTGGGCCCGTCCAGACCGGCAATGTACTGGTGAGCGGAAGGGGGGACGACGGGCAAGCCCGCAGCGATGGCGGCGGTGAAGCCGGCGCCGCCCATTGCCGCCGTGCCGCCGCCGCTCCCCGTCCCCCCTGGGGGGCCGCCCCCCTGCCCCGCTGGCCGCGACGAGCCACACGTGTACTGCCGCTGCACGTCGCGGATCTGCGAGCACAGCTGGTCGTACGACGGCGCGGCGATGAACGGCGGCGGCCGGGACCGCAGCAAGTGCTCCGCCGTGGCAGGTGGTGGCGGCGGCAGGTGCTGCGGCTTGACCGCCATTTTGGACGCCAGGTAGGCGCGTGTGAATGTGGGATGCATGCCGGGATTGGGGATGGAGGCGGGGAACAGGGACGAGTCCGCAAGGTAGTCCTCTGCGGGCCGCGTGGTTTGCCGCGTTGAGACGGGTGCAGAGGCAGAGACGGAGGGGGCAGCGGCAGGAGAAAAGGCCCCGCCCAAGGAAGATGCCTCACGCTCTGCCGGACTGGGCGGTGGCGGCGGCAAGCCCAGGCCCCTGGTGCTGCCGCTCTGCTCCGCGGCAGCGCCCCCGCCGCCGGCCCCCTCCTCCTGCCCAGCTGCCGCTGCGGCAACGTCCTCATCCGCCACACCCTTGACGGCGGTGATGAAGGTCCGGTCCCTTTCCTCCTCCTGCTGCTGCTGCTGCCGGGTTGCGGCTCCGGCCGGGTACATGACATGCTCCGGGACCACTGTCTCAAAGGAAATGAGCGGGCCCTTGAGCAATGCTTTCCGCATGCGCGCATCCACCACCACCAACTGATCCAGAATGGAGTCCAGCGCCTCCAAGTCACTCACGCTGCTGACGCCCCAAGGTGCAGCGGACACGAAGGCAGTGCCAGCAGCACCACCGTCCTCCTCACCCCCCCAAGCCTGATGAAGTTTACCCTGCGCCATGGCCGCCTGCGCCGCGGCCATGACCTCCTGCGCGAATTGCTGCGCCTGCAGCTCGTTGGGGAGCCCTCCGTAGGCTCCCTCGGCGCCGCTACCGTCGCTACCGCCGGCACCGCCGTAGCGGGGGCTATCGAACAGGGGACCTAGTTGGGGCCGTGTGCTGCCGGCACTGGCGCTGCGCAGATGGTGTTGCTGCTGTGTCTGGGTGTGCTGGTGCGCGGCCCCCGCCGCTCCCATCTCCAGCTGCTGTAACATGGGGTTGTTGCGCATGAAGGCGCTCGGAGGTTTGCGCTTGTGCTGGTAAGGGTGCGATGCTGGCGTGGGTCCCGGAAGCATGGAGGGGTGCTGAATGAGCGGCTGGATGGCTTCTACGAGCGGGCCTGACTGCTTTTCCCCCTGCGCTGTCCCGTGGGGCTGCCTATCACCGTGGGACGGATGGGACTGCGAGGCGGCTGTGGAGGGGGTTCCGGTAGCCCGCCTGGGGCTGTTGGAGCCGTAGCCATGGCTGAGGGGCGGGAGCTTGGAGTTGTGTTGCCCCGTCCCGGGCCCGGTCCCAGATCCGGTTCCGGTCCCGGGGAGGTCGCCGGTGGGCGGCGAAGGCAAGGAGGAAGGGGGAGATTGCATTGAAGTGGGCATGACGGGCCCCGACAGGCGCTTTGAAGCATAGGAGCTCCCGGTGGAGGTCCGCTCCCTGGAGGCTGACAGGGCCCGGACATGGCCGGTCAGCCGTTGGCTGGCCGCGCTGCCCGGCCCGGGCCCAGCAGGGTTTGCAGAAAGCGACGGCAGGAAGTCCCCATATGTATTTGGCGGCGTGATAACCTGTGAGGAGGGATGGGTTCAGTTGGAATCGGCAGCGCCGCGCAGATGCGGGCTTCATGTAGGTCGCGCTTTAACGCCTTAACCTACGGTAGTCTGTGGAGGTGGTGAGAAAGCCTCGTTTAAATCTATGGCAGCTGCTTTTGCCATAGCTCCGCTTGCCAACCGGGGTTTTTGCCTTGCTATAAGGGGCCGCGGGCCCTCGCGGGAACCCCGTGTCCTGCGGTGGTTAAGCTGCTATGATTGCAAACCCTTAACATTATTATAATTAACCATTGTACAGCCGTAAGGGACGATGCAAAGAGTCACTCGGGCAATCTCAGAGCTCTCGGTATTAAGCTGACGTTGTTACAAGCCCCAGTTAATAACAAAGGGTACAGTGATACACTCTGAACTTACGAACGTAAGGGTCTCAGTGCCAGGGAAATCCCAGCCCGTACGGCAATGACCACTCCTCGTGCACAATGGCAGCCGCACGTAAGCTACATAGGAGTACGCGATATGCCCGGTATCATCGTATGCCATAGATAGGGATGTCAGGTTTGGTAGAGCTCATTAGTGTTGAGGTGTGTCGCCATATCCCGTGCCCATTCTGAAACACACAGTCCGCTGCATCGCAGAGCATAAATTGATATATATTATATAATTCATCAGCTTGCAGCTATGCGCTTAATCGGTAGAGGATCTCACGGCACGTTAGTGGCTAGAAGCCATACGCGAGCAAACCCGATTAACTTCCGCGTGCGATGGTCCAGACACCACCTGCTTGGTGTTATCACACGTGCAAATCGTAAAAAGGTAGACATAGCTTCTTGGGTGCGCTTAAAACGGCGAGGCTATGCCCAGTTGAGATTTAGATCATGCTGCCATTAAGAACATTGCACATTGGTGGCATATAATTAAGGCGATTTATCTTCCGAGCATTTTGGCCGCCGCAGCCCGCCAACTTCCATCCTGCATATGTCGATGCTTCCCACATGCACCAGTTTCCTTTCTCCCGTTCAAGCCGTCCAGTTAGTCATTGCCCTCGAGACCGTAACCTCACCCTGCCTTTGTCTGTCTCATATCCCGGCCTGCCCAAGGACGCCGGGGCGAGCAACCGGCGCCCCCGACGAGGCAGTGCGTACGGCAATGACAACTCAGACGCTGACGCTGACGCCGACGCTGGCAACAACATCGGCCCGGGATACGGCTCCAACGACCAGCTGTACAGCACCCCGGATATAGACGATGCGGACCCAGACAGCGCCGCCATCGCCGAATTCGTCCGCGCGCAACAGCTTGCCGCGCTGCGCCGCGCCCGCCTGAGCGCCGCCGCCGACGCAGCGGCGGCGGTGCGGGCGCGCGACGCTGGTCTGCAAGAGTACCTCGCAGCGCAGGGCCTGGGCTCTATATCCCAATTCCGGGAGCTAGCTGAGCAGGAGGCGCAGCGCACGCTTGAGGAGCTCCAGGGTGGGGTCAGGGGAAGGGAAGTCACAACTAAACTGGAAAAAGGAGCAGAGCGGGCTGCATCAGGACGCGAGGCTCCCGATCACCTAGCAGGATCAACCCTTTGACTTATTATGATGGTCACACTGTTGCATCATGTGTATCAACAAATACCGAATGTGTTCATGTCGCATCAGTGTAATTTGGTGCCTGGTCATGCATGCGGCACTGCACTTGTACAACAAAAGCTGTGCCGTGACGTCATGATGACGTGATGTGGGTGATGCCGCCGCTGCCTGATGGTCCCCTCAGAGGCTGACTTGGCAGCTCTGGAGGCCCAGATATCCGCCCAGGGCGGGGACCTGGAGGCCGACTGGGCGGCACTGGAGAGCACCCGCAGCACCACCGGACTGGCCAAGGCCCCCCCTGGCGTGCGGGGACAGAGCAGCTCCAGGGGGGCCGAACTGCCGGACGATACACTGCTGGCACCGCCCTCCAACCCACGGGTAGGTGCGAGGAGAGGGGAGGGGAGGGACGGGGGCCGCGCGGGTTTTAGAATGGCTGGGACCGCGGCGGAAGGGGAGGCAGGGGGCGAGAGGGGGCGAGGTGGAACCATCGCACGGTGACAGTAAAGATTAAATATTCTCTCTCTCTCTCTCGTTACCTGATGCCCTTTTGACCCTTTCGCGCTTCTCCCCTCTGAACCCATCCACTGCATGTGCGGACACGCGCGGGCAGGTTGACCGGCTCCGATACCAGTCGCAGCGAATGCGGCGCAAGCGGCGCCTGTTCAACACCGTCGACGGTGACGGCAGCCTGTACGACGAGCCGTTCAGCGACAGCGGCAGTGACGACGACGGCTCCGCGGCCTATGACTACAACCAACCGCAATTTCCGCCGCCAGGCGCGAGCAGTAGCATTAGTGGCAGTAGTAGCAGCGGCTCGGGCACGCTACTGCGCCGGCCGACCGCCACTGGCGGGGCGCCGGGGTCCCCGCAGCGCCCGGCGCCGCCGGCCCCCACGGTCAACCCCTTCCTGTCGCTGCCCCGGCGGCCCTCTGACGTCATCGATCCCCTGGACGACGTTGACGCCATTTTGGATCGCATGATGGAGAGCGATGTGGCGGCTGTGCAGCAGCAATTACGTGGTCCCAGTGCGGCGGGGGATAAGGATGGCGACCGGTACGATGACGATGGGTACGATGAGTACGGCAATCGCCGTCCTGGTTTCGTGGACCCAGCGGCGGTGAATGACCAGTACGGCGATCGGATGCTACGGGCGCTGCGAGGAGCGTTGGCGGAGGGTCCTGCGGCGGGGGAGGTTGGGGATCTGGCGGCGCGACCTGAGCGGCCTAAGGCGGCGGGCAACAGCCGCAAGGCCGCGAGCCGCCGCTTGGCTTCATCATCATCATCATCATCAGCAGCAGCAGCAGCCGATGATTATGATGCCCTGGCGGAGTTGTTGGAGGCGTTGGGCGGGGAGCTGGAGGACGACGAAGTGGATGACGATGGCAGCGCTGCTAGTGACCCGCGGGTCAGTGGTAATTCGTCTACTGGAGGCAGTAGCAGTAAGCGACCGCTGACCACGACGGAGCTGTTGCGTAGTCAGGTTCCGCCGTCAGGTACGGCAGCGGCAGCGGCGGGGTTGACGCCCGCTCGACCGCAGCTGCTGGGCCGACCGACCGCTGCGGCACCCCCCTCCTCCACCTCCTCTTCCCTGTCGAACACAAAGGCGACGGCGAAAAGGAAGCCGTCCGTACGCAACGCCTTTGCAGATGGTGATGCCCAGCTGCTGGAGGAGCTGCTGTCAGGTGGGCGCACATTCGCTTGCATGTCCGTATCTATGTTTGTATGTTTGTGCGTGCGTACATGTGCGTGCGTGTCCCACTCACTCTGGCTCCTGTGTGTGGCGGAAGGTGGCGTTTCATCCGTCTGGTCTGCTGTCAGGACGCAGACAGCAGGCTGGGGCCCCCCCCTGGCTCCCTGTTGGGGTTGGGTGTGTGGGGGGGTGCACATTAGGGCTGCACTGGGTTGGTGTCCTTGGAGGTTATGAGGGAGGAGGAGGGGTTGCCAACAGCCCGTCTCGGTGCGTGTGTATGTATGTGTGTGTATGAGAGAGAGGAAGGGAGAGGAGGAGGGAACGAAGGTGAGGAAGCGCTGCGGGAGTGGCGGGGCCGGTTGAGGGGGGTTGAGGGGGAAATGGACGGAGAGCTGGTGGCGGGCTGGGAGTCTTCAGCTGGACGCGGGAAACGCCCTTCCCTACCCTCACCTTACTCCTCCCAACCGCGACGTCAACAAACCCTGAGCCCTCTGTTCCCCTCTGTCTCCCCCTGCCCCACAATCCCCCGGGATCCCCCTGTCCGAACCACTCCGACTTCTTCCCTTCCGACCTGGCCACGGGGGATGCAGAGGAGGGCGGCCTGCTGGGGCAGCCGCCAACACAGTCCCCTGGCAGCTGGCGAGCAGCGGATAAAGAGGAGGAGGACGACGACTATGACTGGTCCCTACCGCCAGCCTCGACAGGTAATCAGACGCCAGTGCCATCCCTGGAGTCAAGGCCCACGCCACGTGCCCGTGCGGCGACGGCTGGCGGTGGTGCTGGGGCTGCTGCGGCGGCGGCGGCGGCGGGGCCCGGCGGCGGCAGAGGCGCGCGTGCAGCTGCCTCTCAGAGCCGCTCAACGGCCGCTCGGGCTGCATCCCTGGCCTTGGCGCGGAAGGATCAGGAGGAGCTGCTTCGGGGCGACTGGGACGAGGATCTGTACGGCTTGGACGACGAGAATCTCACGGCCGGACTGGGTAGTAGCAGCTTCGGCGGCGACGACCTCACCGGGGGGTCCGGGAGCGGCGGCGGCGGCGGCGGCGGCTCAACAACAACTCGTACATCGGCCGGTTTCGGAGTGTCAGCTGCGGAGCCGACACCGCAGCTGCTGGTGAGGCCGTCGAAGCAGGTGGCGGCGACGAGGCCAGTTGCCGGACGCAATAGCGGCGCCAGTACCACCGCCGCAAAGGCGGGTCTCACCGCAGGGGGTGCAACCCTGAGTACGAACGACCTGGCGGAGGTGCTCCGGGGTCTTTCGGAATCTGAACACGCGGCGGGAGGTGATGAGATACCTGACCTTATGGAGGAGGACTGGAATAGAACACCAGCGGCATCAGCGGCGGCGGTGGTACCGCTGGCGAAGCCGGTACGTGGTGGCGGCGGCTTCGACAGCATCAAGGCGACGGAGGAGCTGCGGCCCGTTGCCACCGCGAGTGTGGCCGGACCCAGGTCTGGCAGTGTCCCTCCTGGCGGGGCTCCAGGCTCTGCCAAAGCGGGCGAAGCACCAGGAGCTGTAACGCCAGCACCGGCCAGCCAATCACCGCCCGAAGCCAAGCCACCAGTTGCAGCAGGTGTTCACAACGGCAGCAGTGGTGGTGGTGGTGATCGTGGTGGTGGTGATCGTGGTGGTGGTGGTGGTGGTGGTGCTGCTGCTGCTGCTGCTGATTCAGCTCCAGCTTTGTCGTTGGAGGCTGCTCGGGCCGTGCTTGCGAATCCGACGCGAGCTGCTGCTTTGGCTCGTGTAGAGGGTAAGGCGCTGCTGTCAACACCGCCAACTAGGCAGAGCGCTAACACCGGAAGTAACAACAGTAATTCCAGCGATAGCAACAACAACAGTAGCAGAAACAGCAGCAGCAGCGTGCCGTTGGCTAGGTCCTCGGTTTCAAGCCGTCAGGCAAGCGCAGCACTGGTGCAAGCGTCCTTCACGCCGCAGGGCGCAAGCCTTGCTGCCGACAAGCCATCTTCCTCTCCGCGGCGTCCCCAACAGGAGCAGCAACAGCAACAGCTGACAAGTACAGGGGGAGGAGGACCCACAACGGGCGCGGGCGCAGCCACCACATCTGGCGTTGCCACCACCGCCTCTCCCGAAGTGCCGGTGGCTCCAGCGCCGGCCACCGAGGCACCCGTTGCGGCTGTCAGCAGCAGCTCCGACGCAGCGGAGGCGACGGAGGCTGTGAAACGTCCTCAGGCGCCCGTGGCGGCTCCGGCGGTGGCGAGGTCGCCCAAGGAGTTGGAGGCAGCGGCCGCCGCGGCGGCGGCGGCGTTGCTCGCCGCGGGAAAGGCCGACAGGATGCGCAGCTCCAAGTCCGTCCTGGTAGAGCCCACGGGACCGGCGGCCACCGCCGTACCTCCCACGAGGCCTGCAACACCGCCGCCAGCGGCGACGCCGCCGCTAACGCGACCCAGGGTACCGGAGGCCCCGCGTTCGCCGTCAGCCGCTCCTGGCGGCGCGACCCAAAACACAAGTAGCGTCGACGCCGCCGCAGTTTCACCGGCGGCGACAAGATCCCCTGCGGGGGGACCAGGAGCGGCTCCCAGTTCCCGGAACTGGACCCGGACGTCTGTCGTACGACCCTGGCGACCTGGCCGAGCGCCGTGGCCGACAGCTTCTGACGCCGTCAACGCGGGTGCCGGTGCCGCAGTGACTGCCGGAATGATGACCTCCTTGGCTGGGCCTGGGCCTGGGCCTGCCCGCGGCGCCGACGCCGCTGCGACACGCGACGGCGCGGCGGCGAGGCCTGCCACGGGTGATACTGCGACGGCGACGTCAGCCCTTGAGGCCACAGCCCCGCGGTCCGCACACACCCCATGGCTGGGGGACAGGGAGCCGCTAGCTGGGCCGTCGTTCGTCCCCAGGCCGGACACGGCCACGTCCAGCGCCAGTGCCCCCGTCGCGTCCTCCTCCTCCACCTCGTTCCCCCCTTCAAGTGAAACCTCCGACGGCTCACCCTCCTCCGCATCACCATCATCATCATCATCATCATCATCACCGCCGAAGAGCTTTCCTCCGTTGGGCGAGTCGGCTGAGCGGCTGCGGCGGCTCCGTATGCTGCTGAAGAAGGGGTTGCTGCTGGAGGCCTTTGTGCCTGTGCTCGGCCGCAACCATCGGGGAGCAGTTAGAGTGTACGTTCCGAGGCTGAAATCCCTGGGTGTGGCGCAACCTGTGGAGGTATTGGCAGAGGACCTGCTGTGCTGGTGGGGTGACGCATCTTCGGATGCGGCTTTGCAGCTGCACACGGCGGAACGGGGGCTGGCGGCGACGGCCGGGGTTAGCCCTGCGGCGGCATCGGCGGCATCACCTCTGACGGCAGGTGCGCCCGTACCGCGTAGATTCCGGCGTGCCTGGGTGGCTGTGACGTCGGTACGGCCGTACGGCAGGCAGGCGGAGGACAAGCACGTGGGCATGGCGGCGGCGGCGGCGGCGGGTGCGTTTGATGGCCGCGGCGCCGCTGAGCAGTTGTCGGGCGGGGAGGACCTGGTTGCGGCCCTGAAGGTGGAGGTGACGGAGGTGGTGGACGACCGCGGCAGTCGCTTTACCACCTCGTCTGAGGTTGCTCGGCATCGGGTATGTATGTATGCATGTGTGTATATGTATGCGTGTATGTGTGTGTGTGTGAGAGAGTGCGTGCTTGTACATGCCAGGAAGTCCTCCCCCCCTTACGGGGCCGCAGACCCACCCACCCACCCGGGGACGCCAAACGACCTGTGGATGGGGACCACATAACAAAACAAACTTCGCAGTGCTGAGTGCAATCCACATGGTGCCCACCCACCCACCCACCCACCTACCTACCTATCTACCCACCTACCTACCTATCTACCCACCCACCTACCTATCTACCTACCTACCTATCTACCCACCTACCTACCTATCTACCCACCTACCTACCTATCTACCCACCCACCTACCTATCTACCTACCTACCTATCTACCCACCTACCTATCTATCTACCCACCCACCTACCTATCTACCTACCTACCTATCGACCCACCTACCTACCTATCTACCCACCTACCTACCTATCTACCCACCTACCTACCTATCTACCTACCTACCTATCTACCTACCTACCTATCTACCCACCCACCTATCTATCTACCCACCCACCTACCTATCTACCTACCTACCTATCGACCCACCTACCTACCTATCTACCCACCTACCTACCTATCTACCCACCTACCTACCTATCTACCTACCTACCTATCTACCTACCTACCTATCTACCCACCTACCTATCTATCTACCCACCCACCTACCTATCTACCTACCTACCTATCTACCCACCTACCTATCTACCCACCTATCTACCTACCTATCTACCCACCTATCTATCTACCCACCTACCTACCTATCTACCCACCTACCTACCTATCTACCCACCTACCTATCTACCCACCTACCTACCTATCTACCCACCAGGGTTCGACACTGACCTTCCTGAAACTTGCGGGCTCCCCCGTACCCCCAAATGTTACTTACGGAGGGGCCCCCGTACCAGGCTCCTGTACCGGCCGAAAACCTTACGGGGGCCCCCGTAACGCCCGCAAAACCTTTACGGGGGCACTGTCCTTGGCTGAAACGCTGTGGAAAGTGACGTTTTGCTTTTTTTGCCCTGTAAATCGTTATTTTCGTTATTTTCTCGTGAACCATTACACTCGGGGACACGGCACACTCAGCGAAAGCCTTTATATGGTCCGTCCTCTCCCCTACAGGACCCCGTACGGCCTCTTATAAATCCTTAAAATCCTTACGGGAGCCACCGTAACCGGCCTTCGGCCGGTCCGGGGGCGGCCCCGTACGGGGCGCTTCACGCCCCAAAATCTTTACGGGAGCCACCGAAAAGTCCTACGGGCCCTGACGGGGATACCGAAAAAAGGCCAAAAACTTACGGGCCCCGTACGGGGTGTCGAACCCTGCTACCCACCCACCTACCTATCTACCTACCTACCTACCTATCTACCTATCTACTCACCTACCTACCTATCTACCTACCTACCTACCTACCTACCTATCTACCCACCTACCTACCTATCTACCTACCTACCTACCTACCTACCTACCTATCTACCCACCTACCTGCCTACCTAGGTATTGGAGCTGAATAAGCACCGCACGGTTTTCGCCCGGGTGGTGGCCATCACCCCGCGGGGTGCCTATTGCGAGGTGAAGCTCGAGGCCCCTGGCCAGTCGCCAGCCGGCTCTGCAGGCGACATGGACGCTGGGGGAGAGCCGGTAGTCACCACCCTGAAGGAACGACCCGCGGGCAGTGGGCGTACCGCCGGAGGCGACGATGCGGCTGCTGCCGGTGGAGCTGCCGCTGTTGGGGGGGCGACGGCGGCGGTGGCGAGTGCGAGTGCTACTGCTCACGTGTCGCACGGGAGAGGTGGAGGAACTGCTGGCGATGTTGGTGATGTTGGTGGCCCCGGGGGTGCCGCAGTAGGGCCTGCGGGCGCAGGGGCTGCGGCGATGGCTTCTCGCCCGGGCGCCGGAGCAGGAGCGGCAGTGGCGGCGAGACGTGTGACCCCGGGGGTGCAGGTGCACTGGCAGCTGTGTTTCCTGCCCATGGAGTGCATGACGGCGGGTCTGAGGGCGGACTGGCGGCGGGTCTTGAATCTAGACCGGGTGAGAGAAGGGGCTTGGGCGGGGGGTTGGGGTGGGGTGTACGATGGTAGCGCGAGGTATGCGGGGCAGGGAGCCGAATGCGAGGGAGGGAGAGAGGGAGGGATTTCCGTATAATACGGCATTTGTACAAGTACCTAAATGTAATATTACCTAAATGCATGTATATATGTATATATATATATATTTTTTTTTTTAATGTGGCCAGACTTGCAACTGGTCTTGACTGATGATGTTGTGATTCCCACCTGCCTCCCCCGCCACCTCTCATTCCGTCGCACCACCCTGCAAAACCCTCCCCGCGAGTTCCCCCTCAGGCCAAGCGCGTCCGCGCCTTGTCGGCCAAGACCGGCATTACCGTCGAGATGCGCGCGGCGACAGCCGCCATCGACCTCTCAGACCCCCTGTCCACCTCGCCGCCGTCGAAGCGGCGCCACTTGCTGCAGCTGGGGGACGTGGTGGAGTGCCGCCTAAAAGACAGCACTCGCTTATGCCCCACGAAAATAGTGTTGGCAAGGCTAACCCAGGTTCCGCACCGGGCTAGTCCCGCACCGCTGCAGGCGCTGGATCTGACTGCTGCTGCTACTGCGGTGCCGCCGCCGCCGCCGCCTCCTGGGGCTGCGGCCGTTACGGAGGCCTCCGCCGGTGTCAGTAGCAGTAGCAGCAGCAGCGGCGGTGGCGGCAGTGATGTGGATGGGGTCGCTGCGCAGATCAGCACTCTCCTTGGAGCTGAGACACGACCCGCGGAGGGAGAGGGGGAGGGGGGGGAGGAGGAGGGGGAGGAGGAGGGGGAGGAGGCCGCCACTATGGCGGCAGGCGGTGGAGGCCATGTGCCGGGTCTACGTCCGATTGTGATGGCCTTGAGCTTGGACGTGGCTGTGCGGGCCGCGAACGGCAGCGTCGGCAACAACGGCCCCGGCGGCGTCGACAATCTGGCTGTGGCGCACACAACGGTAACTGGCCCCCCACCTGGGGTTGCTGACGGAGATGAGGGAGGTGAAGGCGGTTTGGGGACGTCCACGGGGCTTCAGTCGGTGGCGATTAAGGACCCGGGGATGCCGACGCTGACAGTGCCCGCAAGGAACTGGGTTCCGGCGGTGAGGAGACCCCCGACGGCTACCGCCACACAGGGCTCCGAAACCCGGCCCCTTGCGGGTGATTACATGGAGACCGCCGGTGCTGTCAAACGGACCGCAAGTGCTACTGCCGCCACCGTTGTCGGTGCAGCCGCGGCAGGTGAAGCCACCCGCACCGCCGCCGCAGCTGCTGCCGCCGCCGCCGCCACTGCCACTGCCGCTGCGTCTTCTGCTGTCGGCACACCGGTGGCGACCGCAAGGGCTAGCTTCACGTGGGACCCGTCGCTGAAGCTGAGTGCACCGCCGTCATCCCGCCGTATCGCCTCGTCCGGTACTGCTACAACCACCACAACAACCGCTACTGCCAGTGGTGGCGTCGCCATGCAGGACACCGGCACCAGTGCTGCCACTGGCGTCCCGCCCTCCGCCCCGCCACCACCTCGCTTCACTCCGCCACCGCCGCCGCCGATGGGTCCCTCATCTGGATTCATTACCTTGACCGAGAGGTTGAAGCGGGTCCGGCTTATGGTGATGAGGGGGGAGCTGCTGGAGGGCATTGTGCAGGGCCATTACGACTCCGCACGACATGCTCTACCGGCCGTGTTTCCAGCGCTGGCCGTGGTGGGTGTGGCGCAACCAGTATGGATTTCCGCGGACTGCCTGCTCAATTGGCGGCGGGACCTGCGGGCGACGGAGGACGCCGCCGCTGCCGCCGCTGCCGGCGGCGGAGGCAGCGGCAGCGGCAACGGCGGTGACGACGTCGGGATCGCCACGGCGGTAACAACGGCGGCGGCGACGGCAGCGGCAGAGGAAGGTGGAGGCGGTGGCGCTGCTCGCGGGGGGGCTGAGGAAGGGGATGAGGGGGAGCGAGGTGGGGGTGTTCCTCCTGGTGGTCCTGCGCCGGGTGATTCAGGTCCACCGTGTCGAGGGGACCCATTGGCAGACAGACAGAGCGACACGCGGCGACCCACAAGGCGAATCTGGGCGGCCGTTACATCTGTTCGGGCCGCCGCCGCCGCCGCCGCCCCCGCCGCCGTACCGAACGAGGAGACGTCACAGCGGCAACAAGACCAGAACCTAGCCTTGAACGTCGTCGTCCCCACAGCGCGAGGTCAAGACGGCCTGACGGCTGAAGCAGCTTCGGTTGCGACGGCGGCGGGTGCGGCGGAGGAGACGGCGACGGCCTCCCTGTCCCAGTCAGGAGAGCCCCAGGCCTCCCTTGCGGATCTGGAGGTGCAGATGGTGGAGGTGACGCCGCCTTGGTCGCAGCGCTGGTGCTCCGGATACGCATCGGTCCGACGACAGGTGCGCTGGGGTAGCACCGTGTCAGATTCAGCCTCCCGGGGCATGGAGGTGCAGATGGAGGAGGGGGAGCAGGCAGCAGCAGCAGCAGCAACACCACCGTATGTAAAGATGTGGTGGATGATGGTTAGGAACCGCGGTTATCTCCACATCTCCGTGGCGCGCAGTCGGACCGCGCCGCCATTGGCGGGAATAAGAAATGCGTTTGGTTGTCAAAACACCCACGGTGGGATGGGTTGGGGGTTTCCTAGTTGTGGATAAGAGCGGGACTGGCTATTGGCGTACCCCACCAAGATCCAGATCCAGGTCGTACACGCGTACGGAATGATGACTAAATTTTGGTATTAAATCTCAAAATCCTCCTTATTTCCGCCCTTTTATTCCTTCAGTGCTTGGTTGTTCTGCGTGCTTTAAGCCCGTGTCCGTCTGTTAACCTGTTAGATACGGAGAGGGCTCCTCTTTAGGGCTTTTATCGTGAAGCAGCTATGTGTAGAGAGTAGA